AAAACAGCAGCACGTTCACTTTTCTGTTAGGTTCCTGACTCTGCAGGAAGAAAAAATACTTGATGAAAGCAATGACATTTTGGTTTTCTTTCTCTCCTTTACGCTGCAGATCGCCTCTGCACCCTCCCCAGCGAGTGATGCTTGTGTAGGCGTGAGGGGTGCTCCGCATCTCTAGTTTTCAGAAAAAATAATTTATAAAAATCCTAACGCAAAAAAGTGAGCCTAGGGTTCAACAGTTGTCACCACCAGTGATGGTAGTATCCCATACAGCAGCAGTTCGAGTCCAGGCTGCTCCACTTCCAATGCAATTCTCTGCTAAGGTACCTAGAAAAGCGGGTGCTGGGCCCCTGCATGTGAGAGACTCAGAAGAAGCTCCTGGCTCCTGGCCTCGGCCTGGGCCAGCTCCAAACCATGTGGCCACTTGAAGAGTGAACCACTGAAGTTCTCTTTCTCTCCTCTCTATCTGTAATTCTTCCTTTCATTTTTTCCAAAGTGTTTTTATTTTTATGATTTGTGTATTTTTATTTAAATGGCAAAATCACAAAAAGAAGAGAGCTCCTCCATCAGTTGATTCACTCCTCTAAACAGCCACAACAGCCAGGACTGGGCCAGAAGCCAGAAGCTTCTTCCAGGTCTCCCACATGGGTGCAAGGGCCCAGGTCTCCCACATGGGTGCAAGGGCCCAGGTCTGCCACATGGGTGCAAGGGCCCAGGTCCCCGACATGGGTGCAAGGGCCCAGGGACTTGAGCCATCTTCCACTGCTTTTCCAGATGCATCAACAGGGAGATGAATAGGAAGTGGAGCAACTGAGACTCAAACTAGCACCCATATGGGATGCCAACACCGCAGGATAAAGATTAACGCACGATACCACAGCACCAGCCCCTGTAACTCTTCCTTTCAAATATATATATATGTGTGTGTGTTTATATATGTAAATATATGTATATACATCTTTAAAAAAAAAGAAAAAGTGAGATTAATAGGAGAGGTCTGTATTATTTTCCACCTAAAAAAATTTACTGGTTTTTCCCTGCCCATGATGAAATCACCCTACTGTACTTCCATATGAGTTTATATTCTAAGCCATACAATAGAAAGATGAAGAGAATGAGAAATTTAGAAGTTACCATCCACTGAAAATCAAATACAAATAAAAAAGTTTCAGGAGGATTAAGAAACTGGATCAAGAACATAAACCCCAAGGCCGAGATTCTGTTTATTTTTTTAATTTCTGCTTCTCCCAATATTTGGTTCTCAACCATCTAAGAGCACAGTTATTTATTTTCTAAAATAAATCCCAGCTGAAATGAATTCTGTAGGATTTTCAAATTGCTTTCATCCTCGACACATCCATATCGAGTTGTTTAACACAGCGAACCCAAGGTCTCACTTTGAAATGAACTCATGCATTTGCAATGACACATTCTGGGTGTCCAAACCAGAACGGCCCGCTTGCTGGACACCTATCACTCCCCACGCCTGTCACCCTGACCGTCTGAGGTGCCTCCTGCTCGGTGCGTGGGGTTCATGATGATCTCCATCCTGAGGTTACCCTAGCAACTGGTCCAGGCCCAGAGCCGACTAGTGTGGGTCATGGATTCACCCCCCCACCTCGGGCTGGGCCTCCCCTAGCCGGATCGTCCCCCCTCGCCCCGCCTCCCCGAGGCATGAACAAGGCCTGTTGGCAGAGAGCCCTAGTGTGCCAGGGGTGGCCGCACAGGGCGTGCCGGCCCACAGGGCTCAGCCCTGAGCTCCCATCTTCCTGGCTGTGCTGTTGCCTAAGTTTTCCTTCTTTCTTTTGCTTTCTAAAGCATTCTATCCTGCTTCCAAAACGAAACTCGTTGGTTAACGTCTCCAGAAAAAACACTATTCATCCCCCATATTTTACAAAGTCCCTTTTCCATTTCTTCTGTTGGCAGCCCCACACCTGCTATGAACCACGCCCTACAGCCAAGCTGCTCCCCTCGAGCTTTCCCACACCTTCCAACGTGGCCCCAGCAGGTGCCCCGACAGGAGACCTTTGTCCCCTCAGATCAAGTCCAAGGGTCACCTCTCCTAATTGGCCAATTTATTCTTTCAATGCACCTCAGAGCCTTTGCATAGCCTGGCTCCTACACTGTTGCGGCTTATCTTGTTATTTAGAATTTGTGGAAAGTTATACCATTGGGAGGGGAGTTGAGCGACCGCTGCAGCCTCAGCAAGTTTCAGCCTGCGGCCACTCGAGTGCCCATGATTTCTCCACCATTTCCTCACTGCCAAACCTAAATGAAATCCCAGACATCATGTCATGTCCTCTCTAACATGTCTGAAAAAGGAGACCTCTTTCTTTGAAAAGAAAAGGTAGTATATATATTTCATAAGAAAGGCAGGGGAGGATGGAGACGGGAGATCTTCCATCCTCTGATTTACTCCCCTAATGCCCCCAACTGGCAGGGCCTGGCCCGGATGAAGCCAACAGCCAGGAATTCCATCTAGGTCTGCATACGGGTGACTGCTGCCCAAGCACTGAAGCTGCTGTGGGCTGTCTCCCCGGGTATGCATTAGCAAGAATCCGGATGGGAAGGTGGAGCCACACACTGCGGTGTGGAATGCCTACCCTGGGACTCCTGCGTAACACATGGCCACCGCACCAGCACCACATCAAAAACAGAATGAGCAGAATTCCGTAGGAGTGCCAAATGTCCAACTGAGTTCAAATCCAAGGTCTGAACCATGAGGGTTTTTTGTTTGTTTGTTTCTTGGGGTTTTTTTTTTTGTTTTTTTTTTGTTTTGTTTTGTTTTGTTTTGTTTTGTTTTTACCTGTGAGTTTGTTTGAACCAGCATGCAAACGAGCTTTTCCTGGGTTTAGTACTAGTCCTTATAAAGATCTCAGCGTAGATTTGTCTTCTGGGCGGCTTCCCCGACACCCCCTCTTCCCTTCCCACCCCCGGGCTGTGCTCCCATCATCACCTTCTCAGCTGGCGGCCTTACAAGCCGCGGAACTCCATCAGGGCTGTAGTGCGTTTTGCAGCGGTACTGGTGTGCCTAGCCCACAGGTGCTGCGTGGCATGCACGGACTCAGTGTGCACCTGCCGTGCCCGCGAACTCGGGTCCTCAGACGCCCGTTCCACATCCAACCTCACAGCTCCCTGGAGGACCCAGGCTTCACCGTGTCTTCCGACCCGGATACCCAGCCCTGCACCTGACACACACACAAGGTGTTCATCGCGGGACTGTTGAGTGCGTGACGACATGTAGGATCAGTCTGCGTGTGAGACGCTGCGCTCGCAGGCTTGGCAGGCTTGTTTTGCTTTTTTCCCCTCCAATGTGAGGAGTCGGAAGCGGTGATTTCTTGAGTCTTCCTTGGCAACTGCGGAGGCCTCGTTTACCATACGCTTGCTGCCCTCTGCTGGCAACAAGTGGGCATGACCACTGGCAAGAGAAGGTCGAGAAGGGAAGATTGGTCTGGAACTTCCCTGGCGACTTGGATTGAAATCCCTGGGCTTGATGAGTCTAAGACCCAGAAGATGCTTCTCCCCAGAAGATGCTGCTCCCTTCCTGCAGGCATACTCCGTCCGTCCGCTCCTCCTGGGGTGGGGCTGGGGGCGCTAGGGTGGGTGTCAGGCTTTATAAGGAGGACTTGGCAGCTGGAGCCCTGGGAAAGGTGGGGCTTGCGTCCTGTGTACTGGAAGCCACCCAGAGGAGACACCTAAAGAAGATCCTTAGCCCAAACTGTGGACCCACAGCAACAAGGCCACCCAGGGAGGGAGTGCACACAGACTTGAATCTGATAATGCAAACTCTTTCCAAAAGTTTTTTTTTTTGTTAACAAATCTTGGGCACATAACGTCTTTTTTTTTTTTTTGCATTTATTCATTTTTATCGGCAAGGCAGATTAACAAAAGAGAAATTGGGGGGGGGATTCCATCTACTGATTCACTCCCCAAATGACCTTCAACGGTCAGAGCTGAGCTGATCTGAAACCAGGAGCTTCTTCTGGGTCTCCCACATGGATGCAGAGACCCCAGGCATCGGGCCATCCTCCACTGTTACAGGCAGGGAGCTGGATGGGAAATGGAACAGCTGGGATGTGAACCGGAGCCCATATGGAATGCTGGTGCTTGGAAGTGGAGGATTAGTCAACTGAGCCAATATGCCCACAAATTCATTAGTAGGGTCCAGGCAAGATGACCTGGGGTCTCTCGTTCCTGCAGGCATGCCCTCCCCACCTCCCCACACACATACCTATTCACAGTAAACTGTGACTGTGCTGGGACACATGCAATACCCACACCCTAGACAGGCAGGCTTGTGCCATCAACACACACAGCCTCTGGCCAGTTCCACCATATACCTTTTGTACCGTGCGTGTGACCATGAACCACAACAAAGTGCATGTGTGTGCCCCAGCCCAGTCCTCCCTGTGCCTGGGCTCAGTGGGTACCCATGAGCCCAGCGAGACAGGGTGGGAGAGGCCAGCCTGGCCAGAGCATCCAGGACACAGGAGAACATGACCTTGTAGTAGCTCTGTATTTTGTTACTATTCTTCCTTCATAGACACTGCAGGGTTGTTTTTGTTTTCTATTTGCTGATTGTTTTTCAACTTTATGATGCCTCGATTGCCAACCCCTGGGAGCCAAAGTTTTCTCATGTAGCAGATGGGTTAATAGCCAATACTGATGCTGGAGATGCCACGCCCCACGCCCTCAGAGCTCAGCAAAGGCCTGCCTCTGTAGCTGCCAACAGGAGTTTTACAACTACTCTCGCTTGCCCTCTAAGGCCCCCAAGTCCAGGGCAGGCCTGCTTGTCTTCAGGGCTGTGTAAGCACTTGACATTTAAGCACAGGAGAACATGGCAAGAACCAAGTGATGCAAGCTGGGTGGCACCTTGTCACCTTGTGGGATTGTCACTTCCATGTTTGCTGAGGTTGGAGCTTGGCAGTTCATGGAAAGGATGAACAGTTGCAAGGAAGACTTTGCTAACACCGCCTTCCTTTTTCTCATAACCCTTCTGTTAGGCAGCCATGGAGTACTGCCACCTCCAGGAGGACCTGCCCTATCTGGACATGGTGATTGCAGAGACACTGCGGATGTACCCACCAGCTTTCAGGTGTGTCTGCTGCCCACTGCCCCACAGCCCTGAGACTCTGCTGAACGGCTGTCTGGCAGGGTGTGTGTGTGAGGGGGTGATCCCCAGTTCAGTGGTCCTGAGTTTTGCATCAAATGGCTCAGATGCCTGGCCTGCCTTCCCACAGGCTGACTGCTTTTCCAGAGGAACGCTGGCCTCCCCAGTCCAAGCCAGCCTCTTCCACCTTGTAGCTTTCCAGGACTTTGGCCATTGCCCCTTGCCCTGTTCATTCCTTCATCCCTTTAGCACCTGTTTATTGAGCATCTATTCTGTGCTAACACTGGGAATTCAGCTGCATGTAAAACAGCTCGGCAACTGACACTTAACAAGGGACCATTCAGGGACTGGATGTGACACCCCACCCCCAGGCCCAACAACCCCCACCTGTTACCTCCTTGGAGCTCCAACACCACACTCCCCACTTGAGGAAGTGTGACTCAGCATGCCACACCTGCTGCTCCTCCCAGCCGCTCCTCCCAGCCGCTCCTCCCTGCCTCTCCTCCCTGCCACTCCTCCCTGCCATTCCCTCAGCCGCTCCTCCCTGCCTCTCCTCCCTGCCTCCCTGCCACTCCTCCCTGCCGCTCCTCCCTGCCGCTCCTCCCTGCCGCTCCTCCCTGCCTCTCCTCCCTGCCACTCCTCCCTGCCTCTCCTCCCTGCCTCTCCTCCCTGCCTCCCTGCCACTCCTCCCTGCCACTCCTCCCAGCCGCTCCTCCCTGCCTCTCCTCCCAGCCGCTCCTCCCTGCCTCTCCTCCCTGCCTCTCCTCCCTGCCACTCCTCCCAGCCGCTCCTCCCTGCTGCTCCTCCCAGCCGCTCCTCCCTGCCGCTCCTCCCTGCCGCTCCTCCCAGCTCTTTCAGCTGGAACTGTACTTCCTGACATATTGCTGGACACACTTCCACCACCTCGTGACTTGTCATTGATGTGTACCTATCACAATGACCCAGAAGTTCTTCAGAGTCCAGTCTCCTGCTTCTTTCAAATACCACAAGGTGCGCACATTACGGAGAAGGACATCTCAACCCAGGTCCCCAGGCTCTAGTTCGAGAAAGAGAAGCAGCAAGCAGCGTGAAGCATCTCACTGTGTCCTGTATACTCACTTCACGCTTTTAGAATGTAATACACCACAGAGACCTTATGTTTAATGACAAATGTGGATGATTTGAAGATATCCCAAAGGGATATTTCAAACCAGAAATAATACATAGAGTGTGACTACAGAGAGTATCCAACATGCTAGGTTCAGAAGCAAATAGAGAAAATTGCAAGGGTGGCATTGCATGGCTCTTGCTAAAGGGCAAGCCAGCAACTAGAGCGTCTCTAGCTCCTGATAACCAGCAGTAAGACTGAATCTATAGCCCTGACCGAATTCTCTGGGCAACTTCAAGCAGACTGTCATACCACCCCACCACCTCACTTTTTTTTGTTTGTTTGTTTCTTTTCCCTTCCTGATTTACAGCCAGCTTTCTTCCATGGCAACCATGGACAGTGGCACGTTCAAATGAAGTTCAAAATAAAACACAGACTGTTTAAAGGGTTTAGTGACCCCCATGAAACCAGGCAGGCTTGGAAGGGGGTTTTGGCTAAGCAGAACATGTCTAGTGAGCAAACCACTTGCTCAAGTGAGCAGCCTCCTGTCCCATAGGAAAGCTGTTTGCATTCATTTCCTGAAGCAGACGACAAAGTGATTCATTGGTTTCCAGTCTTATCTGCCCAGGGAAGAATTCTCTGGAGCACACAGGAAGTCACGGTGACACAGATGGGTTCACTTCTTACTCGTAGGGGTTGAGTTATTTTGCAACAGGTAGGCTTACTACTCTGTGGAGACTACCAAGTCCAGAAAGTGGCAAGAACTGTGCTGGCTTTCAGACTGCAAGGAGTGGAGACTCACCATTTCTTGAGTGATGGGGGTCCACAGTAAGAACCTTTGGTGGTATGAAGGCACTAGAATTCCTGCCACCCAGCCTTTTTCCACACTCTCTGGGCAGCCCCAGCCCAGCCCTCATGGGGCTCCAGCATGCCCCCAGCCTCTCCACCTTGCCCCATTCAGCATCATCTGCATCTCCCCACAGGTTCACACGGGAGGCAGCACAGGACTGCAAGGTGCTGGGCCAACACATCCCCGCGGGTTCAGTGCTGGAAACCGCTGTGGGCGTCCTCCACTACGACCCAGAGCACTGGCCAAACCCGGAGACCTTCGACCCTGAAAGGTGAGCCCTGCCCTGCCACCTTGAGGGATGTGAGCACATCGGACAGTTTCAGTATAGACTGAACATGGTCCTCCCCAGAGGTGGCAGTGCAGACATTAGCAGGGCCTCATTTCCAAAGGACATAATGGAGCTATTTTGTAAAAACTGAATCCTGACAGCATTTTGGCAGCAATGCACACAAGGACTATGGCAATTTCAAATAATGGCCTTCCATTTTTCCAAGTCTAGCCACAGGATACAGGATTTGTATTTTTGGATATGGACTGGAAAATAACAAAATGTGATTTATTTTCTTAAAAATCAACTTGGCAGCTATGCCAAGCCAGTAGCATCAGCTCCATTTCCTTGTGAGCCTAGATTCATGAGTCTGTCTGGATCCTCTCCTCCCACTGGCGGGGACTTGATCCAGCCCTAATTTCATTGATAGCCTTTGCGACTGCAGCGTCTCAGCAGGCCTCCACATCCTGCTCCTTATCAGCGTCATTCTGATGTCTCTTCCTTTGAAAGGTGGAAGGTCAGGGCTGGCCTCCCACGGTCATGGTTCCAGCGCTCAGGCCACCAAAGCAAATGTAGGCAGGCGTGGCAGCTGCTGGCATGGTCACAGCAGGGTATACTGGCAGGACAGAGCCCCATGGAGCTCAGGAGTCCGTGGGCACCACACCCAGAGCCTCCAGTACAGTCCAGGAGGAAGCAGGATTCTGCTGACAGAGTTGGGAGATCACCTTGCTACTTGGAGAATCTCAGGGCAAGAGGTTGCCAGATGGAAGCCTTTAGATGGAGGGGGCAGCAGCTCCCAGCCAGCTCTGACTTTACTTGGACCTTTAGGTTCACAGCTGAGGCCCGAAAGCAGCGACGGCCCTACACCTACCTGCCCTTTGGGGCTGGTCCCCGGAGCTGCCTCGGCGTGCGGCTGGGGCTGCTGGAGGTCAAGCTGACGCTTCTCCAAGTCCTGCACAAGTTCCGATTCGAAGCCTGTCCTGAGACTGAGGTGAGATTCCAAGGATCGGGGTCGAGGGGGCAGCTGCCCTTGTTCTGTGTGCCAGAGCTGGGCCAGCCGTGCTGGGTCATGTGGACTTGAGCCAGTTTCTCCACCTCCCCCTTGGCTTCTGTTTGCCTTCCTCCCTTCTTCTCCATGCCATCCCCTCCCCAGGAGCAAAGTGACACCTGCTGTTCCCAAGCCCTCCCTCTCTGCCCCTTGTTGGCTGCTCCCAACATCTTCAGCATGCTCCTCCATGGCTGGGATCATACTGGTCCTGCCACCTGGACAGGAGGCATGAGGGGACAGATAAGGACACAGTGCTCGACAGTGACTGGGGGATGGGTGGGACCTTCAAACAACAGAGAAGTGGCCAGACTGCTGGTTCCGGAGGAAGAATGTGGTGACTGCAAAGGAAGATTTCCCAAAGGTCTGAGGTCAGGGTTAGGGAGAGGAAATTGCCACGCCAGAGATGAAAGAGGGGGCCCCAGCACCTCTGAAGTTCAGGGGAAAGGACTCCCTCCTGAAACTTGACCTTGACACAGAGTACAGCAGCCAACACAATATCCTGAGACTCTCCTTATGCCTCACTCTCCCCAGCTTAAGGATAACTGAAGGCCAGGGCTTGCTGGACCAGAGAGCTCATCCTGAATTAAGGACAGGCCTGACCTTCCCTCCATCTCCTGGCCAAATCCTTCACAGCCATGAAGACCTAAGACTTTTGTTTTTTGTTTTGTTTTTTAAGATTTTTTTTTTTTTTAATTAGGAAGTCAGATACACAGGGAGGAGGAGACAGGGGAAGATCTTCTGCCCGATGATTCACTCTGAGTGGCTGCAATGCTTGGAATTGTGCTGACCCGAAGCCAGGAGCCCAGACCCTCTTCTGGGTCTCTCATATGGGGGTGCAGGGTCCCAACTGCTTTGAGCCATCCTCAACTGCTTTCCCAGGCCACAAGCAGGGAGCTGGATGGGAAGCTGGGCTGCCAGGATCAGAATCAGAGCCCATATGGATCCTGGCACATTCAAAGGGAAGACTTTAGCCGCTAGGCTAGCCCAAGATTTCTAATTCCTTCAGGAGGCTCTCCTGTTCTTGGCCAGTTCTATACTTACCGCTCTTTTTTAACTCACATGGTGTTTGGAGTTGTACAGACCAATGCTAATACAATGCACTGACTTCACAAGATTATTTAATTACAATTTAATTCAAGCACTGGTGCAGGCTATCTAAGATGTCTACAGTAGCCCCTGAACCCTCAAAGGCTCGGAAGCGGTCTTCTTTGCTGCATGCAGTCACATCAGCCAGCAGTCACCGCTTCCATTCAGGCTCCAGTGAAGCCCACTCTCCATCACTCTCCCTGCCTTTGGGGAGGGACGCAGGGAAGATCCCAAATGCCAGCAAAGTCAGACCACAGCACACACGAGTGGGGAGTGGCATGGAACTGTTCCCTTAGACACGTCTGCTGGGCTGTGGACTGGCTGCTAGGACAGAGTGGATAGAGCAGTTGAGTTGGTTTTTGTTTGTTTGTTTGTTTAACTAATGCTACTAGGGTTTGTTTTTATTTTGTGGTTTAAAAAATTATTTTTGAGGATATTTACATAGTTGATCAGGGTGAGAAGGGTCAAAGATCAGGGGATAGAGGGAGAAACCCTTGTTTACAGATTCTCTTCTTTTTCCCATACAGAGGGTAGAGGAGAAACCACACCCAGACCCCCAACTGCTGCATTAGCTGGGGATCGGGGAACTGCTATCCATTGTCATCCCAAGTTCCCCACTGTGGAGCATTTTCTTAGGGTTCTCTTCATGATATCACTGCCACACAGATGAGGAAATCTTTCCAAGGTCGATTGGCTGACATAGTCCACCTCTGAGTCTCCACTGGCCCAGAAATTTGCTGTCAAGTTTCACCGAAGTAGTTGATCAGTTTGTTCTGCCCTCCATCCTCAGCAAACTAATGGGTGCTGCAGCCCAGCCTTGTCCTACCCAACATATGCTCAGTCCTCATGTACCACAGGGAGAGCTGCAGACCAGTCAGAGCAATCCCCAGTAACCCCCAGCTCTGGTTCCTGTGCCTGCCAGCATGTGCAATGGTCTGGTCTGGTCTGTCTCACATTCCATCAAGATCTTGTATACATCATTGGGCATCAAAGCCTAACTCAACCCAACCAATTCCACCCTCCAGCACACACCCATGCCAGCAGGTACCACTGCCTGTCCAGCCAGACCCACTCCCAGTCCTGGTTCTCATGCTCACCAGTGGGAGTTGTAGCCCACAACCCCTCCACTGCATCCACTTTCCATCTCGGATCTCACTCTCCAGGTGATTTTGCGGTCTAGCTTGACAGGACTAGCCACCAGTCCCAGCACTCGCCAGCTGATGCTACAGCAAAGCCCAACCCACCTGCCCTTATTCTGGCTCACTCATGTACCAATGGCTACAATTGGCTACCCCAGCCTGGCTCTCTCCCTAACCTGGTTCACATGTAGGCCAATAGGTGTTGTAGCCCTGCCCAGCCTGGTCTGCCTTCAGTTCCAGCTCTCATGCTCGTTAGCATGAGTGGTCCTCACTACTCCCCCACGAGGCTCAACCCGCCATTCCAGTCTTGCGTGTGCTGGTGGGTGCTGTGTCTGGTATGGCCTGTGTCACCTTAGCATTTGCCAGGAAGTGCTGTAGCCTGGCTTGGCCCGATCTGTCCCCATTCCAGCTTGTGCTGGTTGGAGCTGCTACCCAACCCTGTGTAGTCAGCCCTCAGTCCCAGTCCTAATGTGAACTGGCTGGTGATGTGGCCAGATCCAATCCATCTCGCATCCCATCCTGGTTTTCAGCTCTTCCAGTGGGTGTTATGAACTGGCCCAGCCTGGCCCACCCCCAGACCTGAGCAACACCGACAGGTACTGTAAGCTGGTCTGCTCTGGGCTGCGCCTTGCTTTGGTTCTTGTGCTCACCTGTAGGGACTGTGTCCTGACAAAGGAGTTCCCCAAGCTCTTCTATTGGGTCTCCTCTCAGCGGCAGATCCCATGTACACCAGTGGGCCCTTGGTCCTAGCTTAGTTCACCTCCTGTCCTGGCAGGAACAGTAGCCTTGCCCAACTGGCCCATACTCAATTCAGTTCTTACTGTTGGGTGTTACAGCCCAGCCACACCTAGTCCATGTCCTGACATAGCTCTCATGTGGCCCAGTGGGAAGGGTTTATTTTTAAAGATTTATTCTTTTTAATAGTTGGAAAGCAAGGTGACAAGGATAGATAATCTTGCATACAATGGTTCTCTCTCTATAATGCCTGCAACAGCCAAAACCAGGAATCATAAATCTCACCTGGGTCCCCCACATGGGTGGCAGTGACTCCGTGCTTGAGCTGTTGCCTGCTACCTCCTGCATACTCACAGAAAGCTGGTCTGAAGCAGGGACAGACAAAACTCAACCCAGGCACTCCAACATGGAAGACCCGCATCCCAAGCGGGGACTTAACTCTCAATGTCACAACACTCGCGCCCAGCTCAAAGATTTCACCTTCCAGTTTGTGACCTTGGAAGAGTTCCTTAACTCTCCGACCTGTCTATTGGCAAAGAGAGGCACTCTTGTCTCTTAGCTAGACTCTTCCTGTGAAAGGAAGCAGGCCTAATGGACTACTGACGTTATTAACACCATGTTGCCGGGGCCCAGTGCTGCTCCATGAGGGGACAGCCCTGTTTGGCATTTTAAGGAATGCTGATCCAGGTGAGGTTTCTTGCCTCACTGGCCTTTGCCCACACTTTGTTGCCAAGGCGCCCACAAGCCCTGGGACAGGCTCAGTTCTGTGGAAGCTTTCCCGTAGATATGATTAACCTGACAACTATTTTAATTTCTTTTGTTTCAGGTCCCGCTGCAGCTAGAATCCAAATCTGCCTTAAGTCCAAAAAATGGTGTGTACATCAGGACGGTGTCCCGCTGACACAGAGGCTGCTGGGAGCCGTCCTGTGTTGAAACCCACAAGCCAGTGTGACGAGGGCACCACAAGTACAAAGAAAATCTTGGTGTGGATTCAGATGTTTGAAGGGTGCCTAACATTCAAGTATAAAAGAGTATTTATGGAACATTTACTAAATACTTAATAAACATTTGTTACACTTGATATTGACCTCTAGGGTTTAAAATCCTAACTTTCTAGATGGAGAGTTGTTGAAAAAAAGTGAAAACGTAGTTTTGACAAAATGACAGAACATGGGGAAGGCCTGGCCTAAGGTGGAGGAAATCTAGAGTGCAGAGGACAGCAGAGCACACAAGACAGCTTGCCCTAACACCAGGCAGTAGCTTTTCAGCTTCTTCTCTTGAATGACTTTCATCAGAAGGTGAACCTCAAAAGTGCCTCTAAAACTTTAGGATGCTTTGATTTTCCCAGATAGGGTCCTGCTAACTTCACAGTAAGTGCCAAAGACAGAAAAATGGCACAGGTTGAATGTATTTTAAAAAGAACATTAATATTTTTTAAAAATGTGTTTGAAAGGCAGATTTACAGAGAAGGGGAGAGAGTGAGAGAAATAAAGAATTTTCCATTTGCTGGTTCACTTCTCAAATGGTCCCAGCAGCCAGGGCTGGGCTATAACTGAATTCAGGAGCCAGGAGGAGCTTCTTCTGGGTCTCCCACATGGGTTTATGGAACAAGGACCTGGGCCATCCTCTTCTGCTTTTCAGACATATGAGCAGGGAGCTGAATCAAAGTGGAACAGCTGGACCTCAAACCTGCACTCATATTGGACCCTCTATCTTTCCTTAATTTTTCACTAAGGTTGAGAAATGCAGAGGTGACTTTTAATAAAACTGTCCCATTACTAAGAAAGTCACATTCAACAAAGCATTTGCACATAAAATCTCAGAAATGCCAATAGCATCTAAGTGATCATGGCTGCTATGCCTCGGTTACCTCATCTATAAAACAGGAAGGCTGAGATTAAAGGTCCCTCCTTTATTAGACATCTGTGTAGCATTAAGCATCTGCTAATCTTAGAAGGAATCTGTGATCCCTTTCTGTGAACCTCACTTGCTGATCAGCCAACTGCAGAAAATGACCATTTTAGGAGAGCTGCCAGAATGGCTGGGAATGTTCCCAGGGTACCCCAACACTTCTCTCAAAGCCTGCCCTGGAACGTGTCCCTTCTCACTCCCTAGCCCCCAGAGAGGAGAGCACCGCAATACTCAGTGTCTGTCACTATTCGTCTGTCTTTTCAGAAGTCTGAGAGCCTGTCACACACTCCTCCCCCACCATCCTGGCTGCCACTACCTGTCCTTCTGTTACCCAGCCCCTCTCCCATGGCTGGCCAGAGGCTCAATCCACTGGAGCAAACCAAATGTTCCTAGGGCCCGAGCCTCCTTAACTTACGCCTGCATAGATGCAAGTAACACTCAATTCTCTGCTGGGAGCACAGAGCCCCATGATCTGAGCCTTCACCACCTCCCGCTGGTGACCTCTGGCTCTATATACTGAGCCCTGTCACTCCACCTGGCTTCCTTTCCCTTGCCCATCCATGTGGTCCCAATCCTCAAAAATACCCTGGAGGCCTTCTACCGTGCAAGAACTGCTGGGCCCTTCTGCTAAACACCTCAATTCCTAGCGCTACTTAAAGCCTACAACTCATGCCCATCACCAACCAACACGAGGAAGGACAGGGCAGGAGGCTCTGGTTAGATCCGCCACAAAATCTTCTCACTGTACACAGCCTGGTTCCTCACACAGCCTGGCCGACTGACTACACGTGTGTCCCTGCCTTGGAGCCTCCTCTATTCTCTGCACCAAACACCCTCGGCCATTCTGATAACCTATCAACACAACAGCCCCCTTGTCCTGCACCCACCAGGCACCCTGACCACGGGGATCCCATCATGCTGGCACTGCCAACCCAAGGAGCTGCTCTTTCCAACTTGCTCCTTCTCAATTCTCACCGACCACAGTGGTGTTGTCTTCGGTCTTCACCTTTACTTTGCTGCAGTTTCTGGTCACTCTTCCCACTCACACTACCAGTTGAGCTGCTCCTGTTTCTCATTGCTCCCCAGCTCCCAGCAGTCAGATGGTTAAAAACCACTTGACACTTAAGACTTTGACAAGAATCTAACTTGGTGGCTCTTCAAACACCTCTTCGCCTCCTTCCCAGCTCTAAATATCAGGAACAGTGATCATCAAAACACATTGAATGAACATTCAGGATTCACAAGGGGAAAGCTGGGAGAACTAAGTTACAACCTGTGCAGTTACAAGGCTGGTCCTGCTGGTGGGTGAGGTTGTATTGTTAAGTCTTCATTTTTCTGATCATTTTGTTCAATTTGCCTGTGGCCTGATGAGTAACACTCACTTACATAAAGTTTCAGATCACCCCTAAGACGGAAAAACACAGCCTTGGATCTGAAAATTTCAGGCCAAACTTCGTTAGGAAAGTGGTAACTTCTCTGCCAAATGGACATGGCTGAGATCCAGGGAAAAATGAAAATATGAGATCTTCAAAAAGTTCATGGAAAATGTATTATATGATAAAACTACACACTGATTTCAAAAAAACCTTTTTTTTTTGCTCTAAAATAAGCCCTCGTGTATATATGAATATATATGACATATCATGTCACCATATTGCCAGGCTCCTTCCAAGGGCCTTGGAAGGACAGCAAGTGGGGACCTCTGAACATTGTTTCATCAGCTCCATGACAAACCCATACACATCCCAACTAAGGGCTGTGACACTGTGTCTGAATACTTATGTTCCCCTAAAATTCATATGTTGAAATTCAACACGATGGTCGTAGGAGGTACTAGCCTTAGCAAGTGATTAGGTCATGAAGGTGAAGCCTTCATGATGGGATTGGCGCCATTATAAAGGTCTGATAAAGTACCTGGTCCCTAGCGTATGCTCAACAGACAATAAAGAAAAAGCCACACTCTTCATCTAGTTCAGATAAATATATTTTTTTTATTATTTAGAAACCCTTATGTGACATTTGCAGCACAGGTATTCACCCTCACAGGGACATAAAACCCATACTTAGAGGGATTTAGGGGTAATGGTATGGGCAACTGAGGGTCGAGGGTTCTGGTGGGGCACTCCTCCCGACCACCTGGCACACCCCCTGCCAGGACGGACGTGCTTACTCTAAGGGAGAGCTGACCCCCACCAGGACAAGGAGAAACCAGCAGGGACTTGATGACAATATGACACAAGCCAAGTGACTCCAGGTTCCAAGAGGAGCTCCTCAGAGCTGCTTGGATTAGTGCCAGAGCCACAAGCAGCGGGAGGATGCTGCCCTTGGCCACCCCGGGTCTCTTCTACCAGAAGCTACTGTGTCATTCTGACATAGGTAAAAGAGACCACAAGACCCTGAAAAACAGAAGTGCTATCAGCAGAATCTCTTAATAATTAAAAGAAATCCATAAAATAGTATATGAAATTCTGCGTCTAGTACTGTTATGCAGCAAAGTAAAAAAGGGTAAAAATGCAACTCTAACACATTATTAAAAAGGCAAAAATGAGCTCCCCCACAATCACTACTAGGGAGTCCACTAGTGAGCCGAAAAGTGACTTAAAAGTGAAAACCCTTACCAGCAAAAGATTAAGAATTTGACTTCACTGAGAAGTCCATATTAAACAGTTCATTAAAAGCTTTTTTTTTTTTGTTTCTGAAAAATGAACTCCCGAACAGCTCCTTCAAGGTCAAGCAGCATGAAAAGCCGCACAGTGGCCCAAGGAGTTCTCACTATTGGTTCCCAAACAGGGAGCCCAGGGTGACTAGGATGGAGGCTCCAGACGCAGGCCTCCCGGAGGTGGTATACTGAATGAGGTACTCAGGGTAGACCTGGTGCTTCTCAAAAACCACAAAGATGGTTGGGTCAGACATGCTGTTCACACAGCTGTCATAGAAGGTGTTGCTCTGGCCTTCCTTCACTGGGGGGCGGACGTAGGCTGCATTGCCCCTGATGAAGTCACCCACCAGCACCCTGGCCAGGAACATGCAGTGGGTCTGAGAGTTGGATTTGCTGTAGTGATGAGAGTACGCAGCGTCTCGGGCAAAGTAGCTCCCTGAAATGACACACAAAAGCTCCATTGAGCGCTAGAGGACAGGTGCAGCAGAGGAGCCTGGAGCTGGCAGCCCAGCCTGCTGGTGGACAGCGTCCTGACAGCTGGCAATGGTAGAGGCCTCTGCTCTTCTGTCACCACCTCTCCATCCTCCCTCTTCCCCGCTTCCTTCACTCTTACACACCTCACACGCCTCTGGTGTGGCTGGCCTTCATAAAGGGGTATCTCATGCAGACAGAAAACCTAAGTTCCAAATCCATCATTCAAACCCACATGTCTCTAGTCATATTGTGACTGAACCCCCTGAACCTGTTTCTTCAGCTCCACCTAGACTCATGGGGTTTGTGTGTAAAGTGCACATGATGCCACTGTGCAGCCCCTGTAGAGAGAAGCAGCCCAATGTGCAAAGGCACAAAGCTTGTCAAGGGCAGCCCTATGTTGCAAGCTGCCTTTCCACACTGACTCACACCCTTCCCTGGCTCTTGTTCATTAGATCCCGTGGTCATCGTCTTGTTGGACTAGAACTAAGTGATGGATAACAGAATCAGAGTATGGACCACAGATTATTAAATTTGCTGAGTTCAGTCACTATACTGTGGGTATAGGTTCTTAGAGCTAAAGGATGAGGAGTATGATATAGCCCATGTCTTTGCAAATAGTTCAGAAAAAAAGATGATAAAACCAATGTGACAAAATGTTATATCTGATGAATCTAGGTAACATTTAAGAAAATTAAGAAACGATATTTACATATACACATAGATACAAGTTATTCTTGCAGCTTTCCTGAGAGTTTAGAATTATTTCCTATTAAAGTTTTAAAAAAACTAAGACGCATTCCTACACACACATTAACTCTGACGAGAGCTGAGAGGCTTCGTGGCTGTGCCTGGGGTTTTCAGGTTTGTAGTTTAAGCAAATCACAAAGGTACAGCCCTGGGACTTCATGCTTGGGCAGGTGTCTCCTCTTCTCTCCCAACCTGTGATCACTTTTCAGGGCCTCTGGTCCACAATATTGCAGCTGGGCTGAACCATCTTGCCCATGCCTCAGGTCCAGTCCACAGATGGAGCAACTACAACAGTACTGCCTCAGGGTGCCCACAGGGGTCCAGGGCACTCCTCACCCCAGAGGACCAAGATGTCCACAAGGTGGCCCAGGCTGCTGCTGCTCATGACCTGAGTGGCTCCCTCATGCCCTCCATCAGTCTGCTCTAAGATGATTTCCTGGGCCCGGGGGAGGCAACACAGCTGCTGCTGCTAGAGGTTGCCCCTGCCTTACCCTTGCCATAGGAAGTGCCATGAAGGCCACAGATCCGCCAGTCAAAGTTCTGCTGGCAGATGGCGTCCACGAAGTTGTGGCTGGTCCCATGGAATAGCTGTCTCTCATCCACAGCCTTCCCTCCATTTTGCTTCTGCATCTGCATTTTTTGCCTAGAATTACGAAAGAACAACAACAAAAAAACAAAAACAAAAAAACCAAAAGAACACGAGTTGTGTGCAAACAGCAGAGGTCATCAAATATAGTCTAGCTGACTCAAAGACCTATGGGGGCTCCTGAGACTGCAAAAGCCCAGCACTTGCAAAGTGGGGACAACTCCTCCTCTGCCCTGTTCCTGAGTGAGCTGAGCTAGGAAAGCTGGGAAGAGGAGGAAATGTGGGAGGCTGCTGATCAGCAGGGTCCATCTATCCCCTCTGTGCTGATCCTGATTTCATCACAGTGCCAAGGGCGTCACCCCAGCCCAGGTGGAGATAAGTCAGTGTGCCCCGGCCTATCACGGAGACCTGCTATGCATTTCTATTTCATATGGAGAAGTGACAATACATGCTGGGCCTCATGTCCCAAAAGGAGGTCTCTGAGGCACAAGAAAAAAAAGTGAGCAAACTGTCCTGTCCTACCCCAGCAGTCCTCAGAGGGCACACTGGACAGCATAAGTGCAGGATTTACTATGATCAAGACAGGAGCGGAACCAAGCTCTCAATAGGAAGCTCAGGCTCCCTCTTTGCAATAGGATATGCTACCCCGCAGCCCTCAGCAGAATGAGCAAACACATAGCTCTAGGCATGCAGCAGGGTGGGGAAAAGCAGTGCTACTGTCTGATTTCCTGGAGCTCTGTGGCATGTTTCCTACACAGCTGGTGGGGTTAGGTGACATTGCTACTGGCCTAGCAAAAGTGAGCCCCACATACCACTGATAAACTTCCCAGAGGGCTAGGTTCTGGATGCGCTCAATCTTCTGAATAAAGTAGGAAGGCAGTGTACGGTTGAAGAGGGTCCAGACCTTCTGATACTCCTCGGAGGAAGAATGGAGAGTGATCTTCTGCAAGGAGTATTACATTCAATATGTCATCATCAAAGTGCAGACAACAGATCAATCCCTTCCCAACACTGACAGTAAGTGTTACAACTACAGAAGCAGGAAAATTCAGATGAACTCCCCAGAGCTGTGATGACATCTTCTACATGTAATCTCTCCAGGCACAGAATATTTGCAAGTTGTAATCATTTCCCTCTTCTTCATTGAAAAATCAACCCAAAGGTGTCCCTGAGCTATCTCTGCTCTGTTCTTTTATATCACAGGCTAAAGGCACAGGGTCGACAACAGGTCTGTGAGACCAGAGTTGGTGTGGCTAAGTGTGTCTGACCTTCTCCAGTGCTTAGCATCCTCTACCTGCTCTGAGGTAACTGCAGGTACTACAACCAAACCCAATGAGTAAGTTGGCCCAAGTCAAGGATCAGATTGTAAACACCTGCTTGCCCAGTGCTTGGGAGGAGCACAGCCATTCAATTTCATTTGGAGCACCCCATGCAGACCAGCCATTGAGTAGGACATTGGCTGAGACCTCTGCAGTGGTCAGCACAACTCCCACTGAGGGCAGGCCCCAAATGAACTAGAATTAACTGTCCATTCTCTGTCTCCAGTATTGGTGCCTACCAACAGGAATCTCCCCTGCCCCCAATGTCTCTCATCATATTCAAATCCTCCCCTGCTCTCGGTCCTTTCATTTGCTCTGTAATACTGAAATTCATAGGCTAAACCCAATCTTAAGCTCCATATTTCTGCCTTTTCACGCAAATTTCACAGCTCATTCTCCTCCATCCATAACACATATTCTTTCCTCTCAGAGTCACAGCCATTTCCTGAGTTAAAGCACTCAAGACTTGAGAGAGAGTGATGGGGGCCACATACTCCTGTGGCTCTGTCTTCTTGCCACTGTGAGCCACAGCCACCTGGCCTTTCCAGTGGTAGAAGCAGCAGCAGCTGTGGATCCACGCTCAGCTGCCTCTACAGAACCCCTTCCTTTCCAGCCGTAGGCAGCAGAAATCCCATACCTTAAAGCCTAGGTCCGGCAGAGATGAGGAGTCCCAGTAGTCTGGGATATTCTTTGGGCCTTGCAACGTGACATGGCTACAAGATGTAAACAAAACCATTTCAACATTTTATTCTTAGACATAAGCAAATCTATTGTAGGTGGTCTACTAACCAACATGACCATCTGAGCCCATCGAACTTGACAGAGATAGGACAAGAAGCACATAAATCTAATATCTGCAATGCAAAAGCACTTAATCTTTGAATATGTGACTGAATCCTAAATAATCAATCATGAAAAATGTATTTGTGTCCCAATTATTATGTAGAAGGGAGAGTGCAAGTTGTTAGAGCTGCGCATACAGGGCCATAAATCTACCCAGTTTGAAATTCAGAGAGCTTTAAAGACAAACAAAAACAAAATCACCTCAATGAGATATAAAGGCCATATATTTCTAAGAAAAACACAAAATGTTGGCTAGTGTTGTAGCACAGAGAATGTTAAGCAACTGATCATAACCCCAGCATCTCATGGCAGCACTGGTTTCAGTTCAGCTACTGTAGTTTCCATTCAGCTTCCTGCTAACGTGTCTGGAAAGGGAAAAGACAACCCAACTACTTGGGTCTCTGCCACCAAGGTGGAAGTCCCAAATGAAGTTCCTAGCTCCTGGTTTCAGCCTGTTCCAGTCCCAGCTGCTCCTGCCATTTGGTAAGTGAGCCACGGAATAGAAGATGTCTTTCTCTCTAATTTTCGAGCATATATATAAATATGTATGTATACATATATATATATAATTTATTTTTATTGGAAAGGCAGATACACAGAGAGAAGGAGACATAGAGAGAAAGATCTTCTGTCCACTGGTTCACTCCCCAAGTGACCATAATGGCCAGAGTGGAGTCTATCCAAAGCCAGCAGTTTCTTCCAGGTCTCACACACAGGTGCAGAGTCCCAAAGGCTGTCCTCCTTTGCTTTCCACAAGGCACAGGTCACAAGCAGTAATCTAGATGGAAAGTGGAGCATTCTAGATTAGAACCGGCACCCATATGGGATCCCGGCACTTACAAGGCAAGGGCTTTAGCCACTAGACTATCCTGGGCCCTCAAATAAATATATTTTAAAAAGAAAAAAAAAGAAACATAAAATTGGGGGCTAGCACTGGGTAGACTGCTACTTAGAACACCAGCATCCCACCTCAGAGCACCAGCTCAAGTCCCGGCTACTCCACTTCCAGTTCATTGTCCTGCTCATGTGCCTGGGAAGCAATGGATGATGAACCAAGTACTTGGGTGCCTGTTACTCACGTGGAAGACCCGGACAGAATGTCTTGCTCTTGGCTTCTACCTGGCCTGGTCCTTAGTGCTAGTTTACTGGGAAGTGAACCAGAAGATAGATTTCTGTTGCTCTGCCTTTCAAATAAATAAATTTTTTTAAAAAAGAAAAAAATTCTTTTGCAGGAAGTATTTATGTGAATGGGTAAAAGGTCACTTGTGCTTTGTATTTACACTCCTAGGCTCAAGATATAGCAGCATGTCAAATTACAGGGAGTCTCATTAGCACACTATCACTCAGAACCGAAAGACGTAAGGCCCAAAGGTCTAGGAATAAGGGCTGTGGAACTATAATTCCAAATCATTCCCTTCATGCTTTTAAACACACTATTCATCCTACAATAAATCTATCTTCTGTTACTGCTGGCATGAGACTTGTGCCTTCATCCTAAGCCTCCAAGAACTCCCACAAATAACTTTGTCAGGAAAATGGCACAGTTTAAAAATAACTGAGGAAGAACCTATCAGCAAGTCAGGCAGAAACAGACCCACAAAAATTTAAAATGATGATGATATTAAACAGATTAGAAAATATTCTTCCTGTGCCTGAAGAAATACAAATGCTTAAAAACATTTACAAGAAAACTAAAAAAGCATCTGGAAGATATGAAAAATAACCAACTAGAAAAATATTATCCTTGATAATATAAATTCAAGAAACAAACTTACTAGCAACACAGACTGCCTGAAAATAGAATTCATAAGCTGAAAGAGACAGGAAATGTAATTATTCAGAATGTGGCCCAGAGCAATAAGGAGACAGGAAATGTGCAGAAGTCAAGACATGGGAAACAGAGGAAGACGGCCTCATGGGACTCTACTCAGAACCTGAAGGAAGCTTAGAAGACAGGACAGAGAATAGAACTGATGAAACCGCAGCTTACGGAAGCCCGAAACGTCAAGCAGCATAAATAAAAACATAAATCACGACAGGCTAAGGTAAGGGTCCATGACTACCTGAAGCTCTGAAAAGTGGGGCCATGGGGTTAGGACATGGCAAATAAAGCTGCAACCTCCAAAACTAGCATCCTATAGGGGTGCTGGTTTTAGTCTTAGCTGCTCCTACTTGTGATCCAACTCCCTGCTAATGTACCTGGGAAAGCAGAGAAAGATGTCCCAAGTGCCCAGGCTTCCTGCCGCCCACAGGGGAGACCCAGCTGGAGCTCCAGGCTTCTGATTTCAGACTGACCCAGCCTTGACTACTGCAGCAGTTTCAAGAGTGAATCAGTGAATGGAAGATCTGTCTCTTCCTCTCTATGTAACTCTGACTTTCAAACAAATAAAATGCACAATAAAATCAGTCAAAAAGTAGCCAGAGATGGAGCAGGTGTTTAACCAAGTGGTTAAGACATTTACATGCAGTATCAAAGTAGCTGGGTTTGATGCTCAACCCCACCCGAGTTCCTAGCAGCTAGGACTGGTAACAGAGCCCAGGGACTTCAATATTTAAGAACTCCAAGAGGGGTCTTAACCACTATGCCAAATATTTTCCAAAGACAATTTTGAAAGACAAAATAGAAAAATGTGAATAAATGTAATGAAACATTCACAATGCAAAATGATACACAGATGGAACAATGGATGAAAAGTTCTATATTCCACTGAAAAAGGAAGATGATCTCTACAGTTTAGGAAAAACACTGAATCTCACTCACAAGAGAAAGTAAACTTTAGTACCCTTTCCTACCATGAATAAGACAACTGTGCAAGAGCTTTAAGACCCTCTCTATAGCAATGTGGAATAGTCAGGAATCTCAATAGGCACCTCATGCATCCTGCGGGGAGTGTGTGCCTACTTGTCATGCCCATGAAAAAGAACTTCATCTACCTTCTAGGACTGATCTGATGACCTATCTTCAAAATTTAAAACAGCACTGTACATCAGATGGCTGTGACATTATACTTTATGATAGCCAAACACTGAAAACAACACAAACATCCATCAAAAGGAGACACATAATAAAACAAATTATGGAGAACCACTTATGCAGTTCAGGGAGACCTAGTGAACCAAAATAGAGTAATTATCAGGATCTATCATTAAGTGAGAAAAAATGGTACAGAACAGTATATATAGCAGTTAACCTTTCATGCAAGAAAGAAATCAGTACTAAACAAAGGAAAAAGGCAGGCACATTCCCAGGAACTTGCTCTGGTAGACCTGACTCAGCAAGGCAGTTCCTTGTGCACAGCACAACTTTTTCACACCTCACAAAAAACCACTGAAGTCCAGCTATGAGATTTTAGAAGAACCAAAAAAGTCACTATCAATGTTCTGTGAAGGAAAACTGAAGCAGGTTTCTCAGGCTAATGGAAGTGGCAACAAGCTAACAGCAACACTGGCTAAAATCAGCACACTGGCTCGGGCAAACCCAGATTATAAAAGGGGCATTTTGGGACCCCTCCTCTGCCAGGCCATTCTCTCCACTTGGGTGGCCAACTGGGAGAATACTTGGCCTTCTCTTGCCTTGCTCCAATCCCATCACGCTTGCCCAAGACTAAAACAGTGTTATTGATTCAAAGGAGCTTTGATCAATGTAAAACTGGAGAACTGACCCACCATCTGTAAACAACCTCCCTCCCTCCCATATGCTAACCTGCAGGCTCCTGGCAGCCACTGCGACATGAGGAATCCCACCCAATGAGGCTGGCCCATTAGCGACTATAATACCAGTCCTGGTACTTTGGTAATGTATCAGTTACAGTGCTATATCAGTTGGAATACCAGGTTGAGGTACTTCTGTGACATCCAAGTACCAAAATACATGAATTTACACTGATGTAAATGTATCATTATTTCAATATTCTAAAAGAGTCAGGCCTATGACTCAAATTGTCTCATTAAAAACAGACACTGATGAGCTGACTTCAAGTCTGGCCTAGCTTGCAGATCACAAAAAAATGGTATAACCTTGCCATTATGTCTCACTAAGCTTCTACCCAGAAGCAGACATTTGGGTAAGCAGTTAAACTCCTTTAGGTACCTGTGCCTCCCATCAGAGTGCCTGGGTTTCATCCTTAGCTTTAGCTTCACGCTTCCTACTAATGTAGAGCTGGGAGTCAGGTGACGGCTCAAGGAGCTGAATTCCTGGCACTTAGACTTACTTCCTGGACTGACCGAGTTTCTGACTAGTGCCCAATGCAGGCACTGAAAGAATGAACCTGTAAATATAACCTAGTGTGTACACTTCCTCCCTCCCCACTCTCTCTCTCGTGCGTGTGTGTGTGTCAAAAACAATTTTAAACAACAGCTTCAGTTTACAAGGATAACTCATAGTTCCTACTCTGCTTCAAAGACTTTTTCAACTAGCAGAACATGAAAGATAGCAGAGTGCTAGGACATTCAGCGATGCAGGTCAATCAATGCTCTGTATCAGCGAAGGTGCTGTAACAGGAACACCAACCAACACACGCTAAGCGACTGGCTCCCCACATACAACTCACCAGCTTTGCTTTGTCTTCACATTCTCTGGGGACACGTATCTGGGTCTGCGGCAAACCTTTCTGGCTGTGCCATAGACCAGGTTTCTCTGAACGAAGGCTGGAAAAAAAACGGAAAAAAAAAAACCCCAGCAAATGAGAAAAAAATCACACATACAGACATATATGCATGATAGATCACAATGTTTTATAAACACAAATTAAATGGGTTGGGAAGCTAATTCAAGTGTGTAAAGCCCAAAATCAGTATGCTAAAAACAAGGCAGTTTTCCACACTTCAAATATTCATAAAGAAAATAGGTATTCTTAGGAGACTGGGCTGAATGAATAGAGGAATGATTAGTAATTGACGTATCAATTATACATGAGTGCTTTTAAATTGTTCCTTCCGATCTTGTTTAAACTATTATTTTGTGTAGCAAATTTCCCCAGCTTGGATATAAAAAAAGCTACGGCTCAGCCTGAGACCAAATTACCACATCTTGAGTTAGTGGGATTTCCAGTTAATACAGTAATTTTACTCTTAAAACTTTCTTTGATTAAACTAATTCTTTAGCCATATTTATTAATCTTTTAAACTCATGTCATCTTTAGTAAATGGTTGCTGCCCACCACACGAATCTCATTTATCCTCGAGTTGGTGGGAATTAGGAAATTCTTCAAGTTAAAAACTGACCAACACTATAGATTAGAACACATCCCCACCTCTAATCAGAAAAACCCTGCCAAAGATGACTATCCACTTTCAGGGTTCAAACACAACTTTTTAAAAATATTTTAATTTTAAAAGAGTAATTTACTTTGTTGCATTTGAACACATCTTTGACAATCCAACTATGTGTCCTTACAAAACACTTGTGAAGGGCTACCTGTGTTCTTACCCAGAGCTTCTAAGTCCCATGCAGCTACATGACCCATTCTGTTACTCACCCCATAACTTTCCACTAATGCTTTACTCATTAACATACAGCAACTGATTTTTAGTGACCATCTGTGATGAATCTTGCTTATTCAACAATGACAGACTGGCTGTGGGTCAGACATCTTCCTCCTCTTCCATGGACAGTATGAAGTGAGGTCATTTCCCTAACTCATCCTGAAAAAGGATACTCTGGGCTATATGTTTAAATAATCCCTGACCTTGACAGTCTGCCTTAGTCTTGATGTCAGCTAACAGGATGCCAGAATTCTGCTCCTGCAATCTTGGTACTTGCCTAGAGTGAATCTTTATGATGAAATCCCTAAAAGAACCAAGTCTTCCTCAAAGCTTAACATAACAAGTCATTTGGAGACTGTGTTTTAAAATGTGGTGGCTTCCAAACAAATAACAATCATGTGGCAGTTAGATCTGAGACCTGTTTCCATTTTACCCAGTGATAAGGTTGTGACAGGAGAAGTCAAATCATTTCAAACTCTTTTTGGCTACTATTACCTATCAAAAACAAAAACCAGAAAGACTGCACCTGCTCAAAACTCAATAAACACACTTAGCAAACTGCATTGATGTATTTTTCCCACCCTCTTCCTGAGAGCCTGTTACGTCCCAGGGGACAAGCTGACACAGGTTACGCATTACACCTTTGGTGTATGTTTCCACATTTTCCCAATATTTAAAAGGAATATTTCATACTGCGATTAACAGCAGTGGGGTAGCCCTGTGTCCCATCGCCCGTGCTCTCTGCCCAGCCAAGCACTTGTGGCCATCAGCCAGGAGCGGCTAGCACACCCCTGTTCTAACAGAGACAGCGCTCGCTAGAGAACCGAGGAACGTCTCTGAAAGAGCACATCCACCTTAATGAAAAGGCAATTCTACCAACCACGGGGAGAACCAACTACTGTAGGATCATTTACCCAAAGATACTTTGCTGCCCTCTACATACAATAAAGGGCCACAAAAATAGTAGAGGAAGTTTCTCTTATTTAAATGTGAATTGGAAGCAAGTCAGAGCTGGGCTGATATATCCATGTCAAAAAGAATTAAGAGAAACTACCAAAAAAAAAAAAAAACCACTAAAACTTAGAAAAAAAATTTATTACTGAAGGAACGAGTCAAAAGATGTTGGGCCCATGTGTGTCCCTTAAAACAACCAGGACAAATTCTTCAAATCCCACTTTTATGACACCAACTACATGACTCTACATTAAAGTATGTAGAACCCATGTTTAACATGGTTGGCACTTCACCAATGTCATAAGTGCTTGTGGAAGGCCAACAGTAATACTGCCACCTGGATGGTGACAGATGCTGCACAAGAGAGCAACCAAGACCTTCACAGAGGTCTAAGGTTAACTCTCAGAAACTGAATGACTTACCACATCACTCACCTGCTGAGCTTGCTGCACCCTCCCTACAGCAGCTCCAGGCCCTTCCTTGAGTCCTTCTACCTCCAACTCCCCACACAGCTTCTCCTCAATCCTGCAGAGCCAGCACCATCCTCTGACAGCTCTGTCGCCTATTCTGGATCACATACCTTCCATTTCCTTCCTGCCCCAGTCCAGGACCCCAACATGAACATCCAGCTCTCCTAGGTGAATGCAGAAAGGCAAGGCCCAGGCTCTGCTGGGTGAGGGCAATTGGGGTACCTTTGAAATCTAACTCGTATTTGTGTTTTCCAGCTTGGAATTTCAGCGTAGCTGCCTGGGCATCAGCGCCTGGTGCACAGAATGCGAGGTAGGCCTTCTCCACATCATTGCTGCTGACGGTGGTTACAGGGTGTGTTGTGCCCTGTGAAGAAAAAGCCAGATACTTCACAATGATGAGCAAAGATGTGGGTGGTCTCTTGACAGACAGTCCTGTTGTGAGAAGGAAGGAGCCAAGAAGCAGGGTGTTGCAGAAGTGGGGAGGTACAAATGCAAGTGGCAGGGCTCTCCTGAAAGCTGGGCTGGGAAATGGAGACAGTGAGGATGGGTCCTGCTGAGCAGGATAACAGGGATGGAAACAGTGAAAAGGAACGTGTTCAAACTGCCAGCAGGGATAATGTAGCCATTCAATTGTGTGAAACATCAACTATGAATTCTAAACCACTGCCCGGTGGCCAGCCCGTGCAGTGCTGCTTGCCATCATTACCCTTCAATCAGAGTTCAGTACTCCTCGTGCTGTTTTTTTAATCCCTTGACAAACTCTTTTATTTTTTTTCTCTGAATTACCCATTTCGATCTTTCCTGCCCTGTATAGTGACTTAACACAATTCTTTAATATTTTGGTTGAGTTGACTGAGATCCTGCTAAGATCTACAGGAGTATACCCCACAAAGGTCATGTGCTGGACTCGTGGCCCCTGGAGTGGTGATGCTGTACAGAGGGAATCAAGTCACAGCGGAACTGTGAAGGGAATGTATCCTTCCAAAAGTAGGTTCTTACTAAAGGTTACCTCACACACTTCTGCACACTCAGTCACTCTGCCAAGTTGTAGCTCAGCCAACAGGCCTTCACCAGAGACCAGATATGGTTGCCTGATCTTAGTCTTTTAAGCCTCCAAAATTATGAACTAAAGAAATCTCTTTTCTTTATGAAGTACTCATTTTTGGCATTTTTTTATATACACAAAATAGAAGAAAATACTCCATACTTGTTGACTTTATAACGTTTGCAAATTATTTCAACCTGTATTAGCCTTACTTATCTCAAGTATGTAACAGTTCTCGGGCCACTGTCATCCTATTATACAAGATTATATCATCCTCACTAGGTCAGAAATATAATAAGGTATGCAAAGTACTTATGTTAGCTACCACAAAACACTCAGTATTTGTTGTATAACATCATCATTATATTTGATAATTCACTAATAATTAAAGCTCAAGTTATGGAATATGTAATTCTCTCTATTCCTATAGTGTCTTACTCTCCCTAGCACTACCACTCCAGCCCACTGGTGCCTAAGCTTCTGCTTCTGAACTCTGGCTTCCTTTGAAACTAAACCATTAGACAACAGTGGGGAAGACAACAAGGACAAAAGGAAAACAACCCTTTCTCTTTGGCCTGAGGACGTGAAGCAAGGGGTGAACAGAAACAAACAACTTAAGCAGTCCTTGCCCTGCCCTCCACCTTCAGTCAAAATCCCTAAAGATGTCACTACAGGGCTGAGCAGAACAAAAAAAAAAAAACTGATTTCCTTCAACAACGTTGAGGGAGAGCCTAGAGAAAGAGACCAACAATGGTAACCACAGTGTATAGTGAGGAAGATCTAAGATTTACATTTGGGGGCACTAATGAGATGTGGGAGGACCACATTCCCATATTTTCCTAGGGCAGAACCAGCAGGTGTCTAATTTTTGACATGAATTTGTTGGGCATATCTTGAATTCAGATAGTAAAGCAGAAAGTGAAGAAATCCAAGTATAAGGTTACACCAGAAATACGTAAGCAAAGGAAGAATGAACAATCTATGAGGCTGACTGGCCAACAGCACAAAATGAGATCTTACAGCCAAAGCTCAGTGCATCCACACCTGTCTCTAGAATCCACCAGCAAGAGGGCTTATCAAGGACCTCCACAAGCAGCTCATTGCCACAGACTATCAAAAGGTGAACCTAAAGCTTAGGATATTGGAAGAGAAAGACCACCAACCTGAGTTGTAACAAATTCAGTTTGGACTTCCAGGGAACCCTACTTTTGCCTGGGTCACTCCAGCGCCTCCACGTTAGCCAACTTGACAGCCACGGATGTGCCATTCAACTTATCTGCCACTGTCCCTCTTCTTGTCACCAAGCAAACTGAACCCCTACAGCATTGTCAGTCATCCTCCCTCCTACTCCTGCCAAGCCACAGACTTGTCCTTTTTCCTGGTCTATAAAGGCCATAGAGGAGAAGGAGCCAATGAGGAACAGAGGTAGGGTGGAGCAGCAGGTGAGGAGAGGCTGACCACTGTTAACAGTGACCATCTCCAATAAGCAGCAGACACAGGCAACACTTTCTCCTTCAACTGGCTGAGGACTGTTTCCTGAAACAGTCCATGCACCTTTGTAGGCAGGCGGAATACACCAGGACAAGAGAGACAAAATGTGCAACCTGCATGGAGTTCACACCAGAGTATGGCAGAGAGAGGGGGACAAAAAAATTTCACTGACTTCAGTTAAGAACAAGAAACTAATACCTATCAGGTCACATATGTCATCTTCCTTTTGGAAAAGGGAACCCTATATACACTACTCTTCCTGTACTTGCACATGTAAAAGTGACCAGGTTGAACATGATTCATCTATGAGCATCTTCAAACAACTTACAGTAGCAGTTACCTGATCTTAATTCCAAATCTACATTTGATAATCAATTTTCTTACACTGGACCACCTGCTGTAAAGTTGCAGAAATGGCACAAAGTAAATTAGAAAAGCCTTAAACATTATACTCAAGCTACACCTTCCCACACAGCCTCTAACTCTGACATAACATGTTCAACAAGCAAAAGAAGCATCTGTTTCATTTAACAAAACCAATGAAGAAATCTGATCTGTTTTTTTTTTCCCCCTTGGTCGTTCAGTCCCTGCAAGCCAACAGATATCTAATCATTCAAGGATGGACACAATCACACAAATGGGCACAAAATTATATAATTTTGCCATTAATTTTCCCACACCCAGGGATCTTAGGGCTTCCGCTCTATCAATGGGTGACCCTGGTGACATTTCCTTGAGCTTGCATTTGGAATGGATCCATCACACTTACCTGTTTTCCATATTCCTGCCAAGAACCAACCTCATCCATCCAGTACCAAATCCAGTCAGTGGTTAGGATGAAGTGTGGGGGCTTGGTGACGGAGGAGGCTGTGGAGAGGCGGCGAGCCTGGGCAGGGCCAAACATCATTGAATCAAAGCGCAGAGTGTCATCGTGAAAGCCACTGACCGACGGAGCACACACAATTCTGCAAAGGAAAACAAGAGGTACTCTGAAAAGCCCACTAGCAAAATGAACACTGATCTCTCAGCCCCACCCTTGCAGGAACAAGACAGCCAGTCGATAAAGAGTAACTGGGACATGCAGATGCTTAAAAAGTGCTTCTAGAAGTAGACTAGTTTGCTTTTTCAAGTAGGTTTTGCTGTACAAAAATAATAAAAATCAAGGTAAAATGCAAAACTAGATGTATTTGCATTGGATACAAACACTTTTGTCATTATTGCATAAATAACATAGTATAATTGCTATTCACATATCATTTGCCTGGTATTAGTTAGAGATTATTTAAACTATATAGGAGGATATGTGAAAATATTATACAATCTTTTTTAAGGGACTCTTATCTGCAGATTTTGGCGACTATACAGAGTCCTGTAACCAATAATTGCAGATTGTGAAGGATGACTCTCTTAGGACATTTAGTCTTTATAACTCCATGATATTGGAGACTATTATCTCCACTTAACACAAGGGAAACAGAAGTCCAGGAAGGTTAGGAAATCTGACCAAGGTCAGCTATGTGCTGGACAGTCAAGCTGGGATGTAAGGGAAGCACTCTGGTTTCACAGCCTGCACACTTGGCCACCAGGAGAGCTTCCCTTTCTAGATGCAGTACTGCCTGCTGGCCAAAGGCAAGGAACAAAAGCAGAGGTGAGTGAGAGCTGAAGCCAACAGCTGTCCAAGGGCAGTGTCAATGCATAATGACCAACTGCCTTGTTTTGGGTGGCAAAGAGGAAACAGAGAACAAATATAGGGTCCCCATAAAGGACAGGACCGGATCTTGAAAGATATTTCTGCATAAAAATTGGATCCTAAAAGATGACATAGTCTAAGAAATGGGGAGGGGTTGAAAACAGTCAGAAACCTGCTTTGTAAAGCAAATTTGCCAACATTCATGTTGGCCCTGGATAGTGGAGGAAAGCTTAAAAATCACTCAAGCCTCACAAAAGTTTTAGGCTGATTCATACTTTCTGTATGGAAATTAATAAGATCCAAAGTCTTCCCAGAAGTAAACACAAGTTCACTTTGGAGGAATTCACCTTTAATGCCGGACTCAAAAATATACCCAAATTTAATAGTTTCATCAAGTGTTAAGCTCAAAATCAAATCACAGAGCATACATTACATACAATACCAACTGAGCAAAGTCAGCAACAACAAAGATTAAAAGCTGACACCTGAACTGAGTTTCAGAAACAGCAGTAATGATCAAATCTATAAAAATCAACCAGTTAAATTTGAAGGAAAAAATAGAATTTTTATATGTAAATAAAAAATTTTAATTTCTAAATCACAGTAAATGGGATACACTAAGTCTTCGATGGAGCTGAACTAGTGATTTGGGAAATGGGGGGCATGAATAGCTATTCCCCTGAATGGAGGAGTTTTAGCCTGCGGGCACCCCACTACCATCATCACTGCCATAAGCATGTGAGGGGTAGGCTTAAGAGTTGAGGGACAATGGGGCTACTGAGGGCTTGTTCAACATACAAAAAATTATTTGAGGGTTTTTGCAGAAGGGGGCCATAGCACCCACAGGAGACAGGGTGGACCAGAAGGGGGGATCCAGAGGGCCGCCCTGGTCAGAGGGAAAACCCACCAATATGCACAAGAGCTGAGGCTGGGATCGGACCAAGCCAGGCTAGGGTACAGCTCAAGAGAACTGTGTTGGAGGTGAGTCTGGTAAGGGTTCTTTGGGGACACCCTGACTAGGCTACAATACTTTCTAGTGAGTATCAAGGCTGGAAGTGGGCCATGCCAGGCTAACCTACAGCAACTACCACCAGGACATGTGAAAACCAGGGCAGGGCGGGGCTGGGCTGGGCAGGGATGCAGCCCCTGCTGGCAAAAGCTGGGAATGGGGGTGGGTTGAGCTGGGCTAGGCTGCAGCTCACCAGGTTTGGCAGCAGGCCAGGTACAGGTCCTCAGAGGTCTTTCCGGTTAGGCCATAGCATACACCAATATAAGAAAATACTGGCTCTGGGGGTGGGTTGAACCAAGTCACAGCACCTACCAGAGTACATGAGGGCCAAGTTGTGGAGTGTGTCAGCTAGGCCACAGTAACCACTGGGGCACACAATAACCAAGGCTAGGGTCAGGCCTGGTAGGGGTCTCTCAGGGGTCTTCTGACTAGGCCAGAGCATCCACCAATGCACACAAGAGCCAGGGCAGGGGTAGGCCAGGCCAGGCTAGGCTGCAGCACTCACCAGCACATGTGACCTAGGGCTGGGGAAGTCCAGGCCACACTAGCCTGCAATATCTGTCAGTGCATGTGAGAGCCAGGTCTGGGAGTAGGCCGGGAAGGGTTTCTCGGTGGTCTCCCTGACCAGGCCATAGTATCTGGCAGTACAAAAAAGTGCTGAGTCTTGAGGTAGGCCAGGCCAGAATGCAGTACCTGCTAGTGTACATGAGAGCTAGGCTGGGGTGGGCTGGGGTGGGGTGGGGTGGGGTGGACTGGGCTATAACACCTGCCAGTGCACACAAGAGCCAGGGCTAAGTATGGACCAGTCTGGACCAAGTCAGTTACAGCACCCACCAGCACAACTGAGAGCCAGGTTGGGAACAGGCCTGGGAAGGGACCTCAGTGGTCTCCTTGACTACACCACAGCACCTGCCTGTAACATAAAGTGCTGGATCTTGGAGCAGACCAGGACCGATTGTAACACCTGCTGGTGCACACAAGAGCCAGCTCTAGGGGTGGGCTGGGCTGGGCCACAGCACCCATTTGCATGCACAGGAACCAGATCTAGGTGTGGACTTTTCTTAGGAGTCACCTCAACTAGGCCACAGCACCCATCAGTGCATGCAAGGCTGGGTGTGGGGGCAGGCCTGGAAGGAATCCTCAGGGATCTCCTAATCCAGGCCACAGCACCATACTGGTACAAATGTGTGCCAGATCTGGAATAACACTAGGAAAGGCTGCAGTACCTGTTGGAATGACCAGGGCCCAGATCTGGATGCAGGCCTGGTTGGGGTTCTTGGGAATCACCCCAGCCAGGCTACAGTACCCACCAGCACACATGAAGCTGGTTCTGGGGGCAGAGCAGGCTGGGTTGGGCTCTGGTGCACATGGGCTCTTAGGAGTCAGCCTGATGGGTCCACTCCGCCTCAAGGAATAGTACATGGACATCTAGTCAGGCCTTGGAGCACATGTTGTGGGACTTGGCCCTTTCATTGCTGACCCCATGAAATACAGTGAAATCACACCCTCTTTGATTCAAAGAGAACTTTGAGTGCCTCACCAAAAGATGGAAAGAACAGCAGGTTGAACAATGTGGCAGGTCAAATTCTGCACCAAGCACCTAAGGCTATGGGTATACTGAAACAGACAGCCAGCAAATATGGGAAGTGGTATCTCATACGTGGCACACAGAAGCTAACTATCTCAGAACCATTGAGACTACTCAAGTAAAACACTCGGGCCATTCTTCCCTCCCATCACGGTCCCTGGGACAAAAACAAGGGTTTGAGCATCTCTGTCCTATGGCATGGAGGTGATCTGGGCAACAAGGAGTGACACAACATCTCCCCTGGCCAACCCCATGGCCACAGCAGAGTGGGATTTTTTTTCTCTCACCTATCTTCCCTCCATATCCCTTCCCTTCCCATCCCACCCAGAGACCTGCAGGAATCTACAGCCCCCTCACCTATACAAACATTTAGAAAGGAATTTCTTAAAAAAAATCAATATGTAGATCTTAAAGATATCTTACAATAACAAAGAATGGCAAAATATTGAAAGCAGCCAGAAAGAAAATAAATTATCAACTATATTGGGTTGAATTATGCTCCTAAATAATATGGTGCAGTCCTAACAGCTGGTATCTATAAAAATATTCTTATTCGTGAATAGGATGTATCAAATCAAGATAAAGTTATTCTGAATTGATCACATACACACACACAAGAAGTGCAAAGTAAACACATTTTCAGACAAGATAAAATCATATTTTCCAACAGACTCTTACTAAATCAAGTTCTAGTAAATGGACCAGAAGTGTAAAATGATACACAAGGAGAGCTGTGAATAAAGGGATGGTGAATGAAAAACAAAAGGGCAGTTGTATAAATTTAAATAAATACTGATTACAGGTAATATTACCTTTTAACTTCTGTGATTAAAAAAATAACAGTAATAACTCATACCATATCATGTGCCTGGCACTATTTTGAGGGTTGTTTTTTTTTAGAAGCTTGCTTTAAAAGAAAGAGATTTATCTACTTTACTTAAAACAGTTACAGAGAGAGAGAATCAGTCTTTCATCCACTGACTCACTCCGCAAATGGTCTCAACAACCACAGCTCAGCTGAACTGATCTGACCTAAAGCTGGTAGCCAGGAGCTTCTTTCAGGCCTTCCATGTGGGTGCACAGACCAAGGCCTTGGACCACAACAGAGAGTTGGATCAGAAGCAGAGCAGCTGGGACTCGAATCAGCACCCAAATGGCATGCCAGTGCCGCACGCAGAGGACTAGTTTGCTATGTCACCATGCTGACCCCAACTATTTTGAGTTTTACATGTATTAACTCACTTCTCAAAATAAAACTCTGTTCTGTAGAACTACTAAGGAGACCTGGACTGAGACCCTAGTTACTGGTTTCAGGCCCAGCTATTTGGGAAATGATCAGCAGATGTCCCTGTCTATTATAAGTTTTTTATAAAAATTAGTGGAATAAGAAACTGATTCATTCATAGTGTTAGCGTATGTCTCACAGTACCTGATAAAATAGGCATGCAAAGAAATCAAAAGGGAGTTGGTATTTGGAGCATCAAGAAGAAAACACTTGGGCTACCCACATCAGAGTACACAGGGTCAGGTCCTGGCTCTGTCTGCAATCCAGCTTCCCGCTAACGTGTACCCTAACCGGCAGCAGGTAATGGCTTCAATAATGAAGGCCCTACCACTCAGTGGGAGATGAGCTGATCTGCCAGTTTCAGGATTTGGTATGACCCAGGCCTGGCTGTTGTGAGAATTTGGGAAGTGGATCTGTGCATGGAAGATCTGTTTATGTCTTTCAAACGAATAAATCATAAATTAAAAAAAAAAAACTAATCCATGTTGAGAGAAGTCAGAACTGTGTCTACAGGGACTGAGAGGAACATAAAAAAACTTTCTGATGTTAATAGTGATCTCTATCACAATTGGCATGAGGTTATGCATTTGTGAAAACTCACTGATCTGCACACTTACTAATGGTGCACTTTCGTGTATAATCTGCTTTAAAAAAAAAAGACTAGGAGTAGTGTATGAGTTATTTAGTAATTCTAGGGGAACAAATTTGTTTCAGATACTTTAAACTCAAATTTATTTTACATACTCAAAAAGTAGGCCCCAATTCCCTTCTTGGCAACATATTTAACAAGTTGAATTTGACACACGTTCCAGAGGTTTTACAAAAGTTCATGGATGCTTGCTTCAAGCAGTACACAAACTAATGCTGCAACAAAAAGCTCATGGAAATGTACATTATGAAAAAACTACACATATGTTTCAAAACTGTTTCATCCAAATTTTTTAGTTCATTTTTCTATGAACTTTTTTGTAGTACCCTCATCTGAAATAAGTCTACTCAGAACATTTCTGTTTACTCTCAGCTGAGTGAAAATACTGAAATACACTTAAGAAACTTAAAAACATCAAAGTTTACATAAAATAAATGGCAGTTCAACTGTATGAGTTTACAGAAAAGGCTAAAACTTAACAGATCCTGCAACACTAAATGAGCATGCATGCACATGACTAAACCCAGCACCAAATAAGTGCTAACTTATTTTGTCTTGGTACTATCTTCTCTTTTATACACAGTTCCTCTCCATTCAGGAATGAAGAAAACTGTTCCCAAGTACCTATGTGAGCCAGAGCTTCCATCTCTAAATCAGGCTGCTCTGTGTGTGTGTGTGTGTGTGTGTGTGTGTTTGGAAGCAGGATTGCAGGGGGAACAATCGAAACCAAACACCCCTGTTCAAATCAAACTTTTCACAGCGCACACAAAAACCAAGACACAAGGCTGAGACAGAGGCATACTTCCTACCTGTCTTTCCTGGGATTGCTGTATGCCTCTTCAATAAGCTCCATTTTGTCCAGATCTTCCCATTTGCCTCCATTCAAGAACTGCCACCGATATGGCAAATGGAAATGAACTCTATAGCATTTATCTGCAATAAAAACAAAGATGACAATTCAGCAGCACATAGCATAGCATAGCCCTGTGACTGTCAATGAGTATGGTGGTGCCAGCTAATCTGAACATATTCTGGAAATTCAGGAGGCAGTCTTCATTTTGATACTGTTCATACTTGAACATGTAGGTACATATTGAAATACACATTTTATATTACACATATTCCTTTTCTGTTCTCCTTTTGAATAAATTCTATATTCTTTTTCATTTTAAAAATTAAATGTTAATATTGTTCACATAACTGAGTGGGTCTCCCATTAGGGTGGAGAGGGTTGAGGCATGGAGGAAGGTGGGTAGGACCAATATTTCAATTTTTTTTCTCTCCTGTGCCCACAGGGAGGGCCTTTCTGTTAAACAATATCAGCACCCAGGGATGGGAGAGTCATTTGATGACACATTAGAGACCCTGAAGTGGCAAAAAGTATTCTGAAAGTGTTACTTGAGTGGTCTTGATAGTTCTGAGATGTCATCAGCCTCATTACACCAGAGCTGAGAAAATCTTACCAAGCTTGACCAAGTCCAACTTACTGAAACTACAGGCCAGGAGAGTCCAGAACAAGTCCAACCTGTTCTGTTCTCCATCCTGACAAGACACTCAATGTTCTCTATTGGCCTAGATGAGCCATCATGTCTCCTGTGTGCAGTAGGGCACAGGAATCAGCACCCAATGAGGCCCAGTCACAATATCTGCACTCCAAGGTTGGTCCACATAAATTGTGACTTTCCTTGTGGCCAGGGTTTGAGTCCAGTGGAACAGCTGGGAGTTCCCCCAAAAAACCTCACCTAGGGTGACCTCAGATTTGACTCTTGTGAGCGCCAACCAGTGCAGGGTCAGGTACAGTTCATCACCACCCAATGCACATACTAGTAGATGCAGCCGCCTGGTCAATTCCACCCCTAGCCCCAGCTCTCACACGAACTGATGGGTGCTGTGGTGTAATCCAACCCAGCCCGCCACAGGCCCAGTTTTCACACACACCAGTAGATGCCATGGCCTAGTCAAGGTGACTCCCTATAACTTCCACAACACCTGCCCCAAGCCTTTGTTTTCACATATGACACCATGTGCTGTGGCCCTCACCAGTCTGTCCTGCTCCCTAGCTGTCTTTCATGCACTCTCATTGGTGCTACAGTTTAGCTCAGCCTCACCAGCCCCCAGACTTGGCCCACACATATGCCAATGGGTGCTGCTACCTTGATCAACACGGCCAACCCCCAGCCTTGGCTCTCATGCTCGCCAGTGGGAGTTGCAGCCCAGCAAGAGAGTGCCCACAGTTCCCTTACCAGGCCCACTCTCAGCTCTGGATCTTGAACCTGCCAGGAGGTACTGTAATTCAGCCTGACATCATTCACACTTTTTGGCAGATGCTAGGACTAGCCAACTGCCCTGTACCCAATCTATCTTACACAATACAGGGTGTGGTAAACTAGCCCACCCTAGTCCTTCCCCAGTCCAAGCATCATCAGCAAATGCTGGAGCCTAATCTAGTCTAGCCCACCCCAAAACCCAGCCCACAAGCATGCCAACAGTTGCTGCAGCCTTACCCAGTGCAGTCAGCCCCTAGCCTAGCTCTCATACTCACCAGTGGGAGCTGTAGCCTAGCAGGAGAGTCCCCAAAGTTCTCCCAGGCCCATTCCTACCTCCAGATCTTGCACATGCTGGGGAGTGCTTCAAACCAGCCTGGTGTGGACACCTGAAGCCTCAGCTCCTATGGCAGGTTTGCAGCTTAGCCCAGCCGGACAGAGCCAACACCCTGTCCTGGCTCTCATGTGTACCAGTAAGTGCTATGGCCTGGCACAGCCTAGCCTGTCCTCAGACCTGGCACACACAAATGCTGACCAGTGCTGCAGCCTTGCTTGGTCTGGCCTGCCATCAGCCCTAGCTATTGTGCTCCCCAGCAGGAGCTGTGGTCTAACAGGGAAGAAGATCCCCAAATTTCCCTACCAGGCCCATTCTCAGCTCTAGATCTCATGTGTGCTGGTAGGTGCTGCAGTCTGCTGGGCCTTATCTGACCTTAGTCCCGGCCTTTGCATGTGTTGATGGGTGCTACAGCCTGGCCAAACCTGGTCTCCTTCCAGCCCTAGCTCCCACAAGCATCAGGGTTGAGTTCTGTGATCCAGCCTGGCTCGGTCTGTCACTATCACAACTCTGTACGCAAACCAGTGGCTGCTACAATCCTACAGAGGTGGGCCCAAAAAATCTTCTGTAGTTCCCCACAAAATCTGCTCCCAGATCCAGTTCTCTCGCATTCTGGTAGGTATTGCAGCCCAGGCTGACATGGCCCACTCCCTGCTCTGACATTCATGAGCTGGAGTGTCCCGTGTCATAACCCAGCCATGCATGCCTCTCAAGCCCTAGCTTTTGTGTGTGCCAGCAGGTGATGGTATCTAGCCTAGCCCAGGTCTCCCACATGGGTGAGTGCCTTGGTGTGATCCAGACATGCTTCAGGTTTCCTCCCTTCCTCTCTTCCACTTGGTCTTAGCTCCCTCACCTGTTTGTGAGCACAGTGGTCTGGTCCTTGGAATATCCCAGAAGCTATTCCTCCCCTAAAGTCCTCAGTCACTCCCACTCTAATAAGTCACCAGACCAATATCCTGGGTGTTCTGAGCTCTCCACCTGAAGGCTGGGGTGATGTGTTCCAGCCTAGCATTGCCCAATTCAACTTCCCCACATCTTAAAAAAGAAAAAAAAAGGAATAAGCAACTCTGCAGGCACACTGGTATAATTAACAGAGTTGGCAGTAACCAGGCCCAGAATGCCTGCCAGATATTGGCTGCTTTTCTCCTAGCAGTGTAACATTTACCAAAGTACAAGGCTACCTAGGGTGTTGCCTGTAGCATGGGGACATTGATTCTTGAAAATGTCAGAAGGTTACACCATTTACTAATTTCATTTCATGACTGTAAAGAAGCTGATCATGAGAAAGTCAAACACCCCACTCGGAAAGCTACTTTGCTCAATATTGCTATACATTTGACCACATGAGAGATTCAACTACACCAGAACCCCATCCCAACCCTGACATGTCCTACACCAAAGTCACAAGAGCAGTATGATACCAACTGTTTGGACCTCTTAGAGGTGTCAAAGAGATCTAGTCTACCCTGAAAACACTTTCACCTCCTTACGGGACTTTCTATGATGCAATGCTCTACCCACACTGCTACTTACATAATATAACTCAGACCTCTGGTTTCCAGCTGGCTGCTCTCTTGCACCTTTGCCTGGCTCCTGAGCAACCAGGTCCTCACGTGCATGTTGCTTTTAACACTTGCTGCCCACTTGCCTCACCTAAGTTCAAGCCAGCCCTGCTACCTAGAAAATCACCAATAGCCTCTTCAAACTGTGGCAGCCATCACACGGAACTGCCACAATCCCAGAGGAGAGGATAGGGAGAAAGGAAAGAAACAGCATGGAAAGCTCACTGTACTTCAACATGAAGCTACTGGCAAGAATACACGCTATTCGGTAGAAGAAGTACAAAGCACAGGATGCCACTCTTCAGGTAAACCATAATGATGGAAAAAGGTGAGAGGTACTTTGACCAAATACACAGTCAGCTTTCAGTATCCACAGGCTCAGTACCTGTAGATTCTACCACCCTTAGATCAAAAATATTTGGGGGTAAAAGTTACATTTGTATTAAATACAAATTTTGGTGCTCCGTATTTCTGAGTATAGCAACTACTTACAGACCACTTATATTAGTACAAAAAATAATGTAAAGGGTACATGTCCTACCAATAAGGACACCAACTGGGAGGGGACGGGTGGCAGGGAGTGGCACTATGGCAAAAATAGGCTAATCCTCCACCTTTAAGTGCCAGTGTCCCATGTGGGTGCTGGTTCCCTGTCCTGGTTGTTCCACATCCCATCCAGCTCCCTACTTGTGGCCTGAGAAAGCAGTCGAGCATGGCCCAAAGCCTTGGGACCCTGCGTGGGGGACCTGGAAGAAGATCCTGGCTTTGGATCAGCTCAGCTCCAACCACTGAGGCTAATTGTAGAGTGAAACAATGAATGTAAGATTGATCTCTCTGTAAATCTGCCTTCCCAATAAAAATAAATCTTAAAGAAAATGATACCCATGGGTACTCCACATCTCATATCTGAGCACCTGAGTTCAAGTCCTGGCTCTACTCATGATTCTGTCTTCCTGCTAGTACTCACTCTGGAAGGCACAAGATGATAGTTCAAGTATCTGGGTCCCTGTCATCCACATGGAGACCTGGATTAAATTCCTGACTCCCAGATCCAGGTTAGCTGTCCCAGCCAATAGACACATTTGGTGAGTGAAGCCGTGGATAGGAGCTCCCTCTACCTGTTTTTCTGCCCCTCAAATAAACAAGTAATCTAGAGATGACCTAAGAAGGATGTGTGGAAAATTCAAGAGGATTGAATAGTGAAAACATACACTGATTTTAACAATGAGAAAATGTCAAAGAAATAAATGGAGGACCACATACCCAGGGGACAGTTGGAGAAATTTTCAGTAAAGAACTTAGATTACAGAACAGAGATTTCATGGAGCACCAAAGACAGTATTCACACACAGGAGCAGATGTTATCTAGCAGCAACCTGCATGGTCAGTGGTGGATGGGGAGATGCCATCTTTCAATGTGAGGTGAGGACGCAGCTACAGTGGCCAAAGTGCCACTAAACTGAGAAGCATTTAGGGGTGGTTGGATGTGAGAACACTCACCTAATCTGACTAAATTCAGAACTCTGAGTGTTGAGAAAAGACCTTGTGGAGCATTTTGTGAATCTTCCAGGGTGGGGTGGGGCAGGTGGGCAGGCACTGTGATATCACACTCCGCAGTGAAGCCGCGGGGTCACTTGGGCATGCCAGCCAGTGTGATTGCCCTTCTCCCTACTGATTCTAACCAGTTCTAACACGTCCAACCTGAACGTCACTACGGACTCCTAACCTACCTACAAGTGCTGGCCGCAGCTTCCTGACCCCCAGCCAACACACACCTTGGAATATTCACTGTAAATCACAAACATTCCAGCAAACCACAGAGGCACACTTCCAAGATCAAGGCCTTCAGAGCAGATACCAACAAGTGATCCCTTAGACATGTAAAAATAAACAAATATAAGAAACAAGAATAAAATGACTCTGCAAAAGGAACAGTTACATATCAATATTATGGCATGAAGATAAAAATGTCTGAAAAAAGCCTGAAAATGAAAATGCCAGGAAAAAAATGTCTGAAAAAGCATCATCAGGAATTACTAAAAACACCTAAGGCAAGAAATCAGAAAATCTAAAAAAAATAGACAGATTTCTGGGCCCGGCGCGGTGGCGCAAGTGGTTAAGTCCTCGCCTAGCACGCCCGGGATCCCATATGGGCGCCGGCTCTAATCCCGGCAGCCCCGCTTCCCTTCCAGCTCCCTGCCTGTGGCCTGGGAAAGCAGTTGAGGACGGCCCAAAGCTTTGGGACCCTGCACCCGCGTGGGAGACCCGGAAGAGGCTCCTGGCTTCGGATCGGCATAGTATCGGCCCGTTGCGGCTCACTTGGGGAGTGAATCATCGGATGGAAGATCTTCCTCTCTCTCTCTCCTCTCTGTATATCCGCCTTTCCAATAAAAAATAATAAAAATAAATCTTTAAAAAAAAATAAAAAAAAAATAAAAAAAAAATAGACAGATTTCTGAAGAAGAACTATTTATCAATATTGATACACAAAATCATAGATAGTCAACAGAACAGCAGTATAGTTAAACACTGCACAGTTTTTTCAAAACTGAGGTTGACAGGGCCAGTGTTGTGGTACAGTGTGTTAAGCTACTGCCTCAAACACCAGCACCCTATAGTACAATGCTGGTTAAGTCCCGGCTGCACTGTTTCCAATCCAGTGCCCTGTTAATTCACCTGGAAAAGCAGCAGATTATGGTCCAAGTCCTTGGATTCCTGCCACCCATGTGGAATACCCGAATGGAGTTCCTGGTAGTTTCAGGATGGTCATATATGGCTATTGTGGCTATTTAGGAAGTGAACCAGAAGACAGAAAATTCTCTCTGTCACTCTGTTTTGGCAAATAATTTTTTTAAAGTAACATACATGATATACATGTATTAACATAGCAAAAAAATAAAATCTCCACAACATTGCTAAATAAAAGTAGCCTGCTAAATACATTATGACATGATTTCATTTTAAAAACAAGTATTACAACCACAGAGTCAGAGATTACTTTGGGGAAGAATAAAGGACTTCACTCTTTAGTCTATATCTTTTGACTCTTACAAAGTTAAAGTATTCATGAATTGTTTGGATAATTCTTAAAGACTGAAAACAAAACAAGATATCTTAGTCGTTTTTAAGAGATGTCACCAAATTTTAGAAAACTTTTTTCTGTCAAGGCTCAGGCCAGCAGTTAAGAAAATAAGTTGATTGAAAACACATATACACGCATAGATACGACTGCTACTTCCGAAGAAACAGGGACTGTGGGTCTCACCGGATAATACAGAAGAAACCTCTGACTTAGACAAGTCCTCACTGCCCAAGAGCTAACACACTACTCCTCAGAGACGTCTTCCCCAGCTTCCAAGGCACTTAAACCTAAGCACCCTCTGGGAGTGATTACCTTTAATCCCTACTCTGAGCATTCTTGTACCAACCATGTAGGCCTATGAGTTTGTGTTAAGCTGTCTAAAGGCTAACACTTGACATTCATTTGCAGTATTAACCAGATATGCTAACCAAAACTCAAGAGCTACACTCTGATAAAGAATTTTTTTCTATCCTAAATTCCCCCAAAAGGGTAACTTCAATACCAGTAGGATCAAAATGCCAGGCCCCAAGCTCTCTGGAGAGTACAAGCTCGCAGGGGATATCTCAGGGCAGAGCTCTAGAAACCAGAACAAGGGAGAGAAAGGGGCTCCGCCAACTTACCTTGAAAACTACAGTTTTTCCGGATATGATACAAGCAGATCTGATCACTCTCCTCCTGGCTGGGAGTGTTTGGGGACACAGGACCTGAACTGCTTCTTCTTTCTACAAAGAGATATTACAAAAATCTGTCAACTTCCAGCAAAGCCTCTGATATGGGATTATAGTACTGCAAGGTATAAGGGAGAGAAGAGAATTCATTCATCTCTCTGCATGAGACCCAGGTGGGAAGGCATGCGGAGAAACGCTGTTAGGGTTGAAAGTACCCTAGACATACATATCTCTTTTCAGGGAGCAGCTGGGAACTCAAGGTCACATGGCTGCCCACCAAAGCCAGGATGCTAGGGACAGAATTCTTTCTCTACTCTGGCTGTCATCCAATTTTCTATGAGGTTAAACAGAGGACTATTTTTCACAAACTAGATAAGAATCCATTAAAAAAAAAAAACTTGACAGTGAACTATTGGAAACGGTTAATAATAACAAAGAAAAAAGCAGTAAGTGGAAAACTTCCATCTCAAAGTGAAACCTCCTTAATTTTTTTAAAGATGTTATACAGCAAGGGCCTGTAAATGCTTTCATTAGTCCCATCCCAACGAGTTTTAACCTGTCATACACACCCCTATGAAGCATATAAAACTCATTAGCAACAGTTATTCAGAATCCCATTATTTCAATACTCATCTTTTTAAGAAGTCTATCAGATATTCTATGTATTCCTGATGGATTTTAAGGTCACCACCTTCTCCTCCAGGGCAGTGACTGCTCTTAGAATATGGCACTACCTAGGAATGGATCCACCCTGTTTCTGAAAAGGCTATAAGCCCAATGACACTCATGTATTGGTTCAAGGCAAAATCTGTCTACTTCCAGGCTTCTGAGAGTTGTAACAACTTAAGAAAAAAACAACTGAGGAGAATACAGAGGGAAAAAAACCACACACATAGCAAGGAAAACTTTAACATATGTGTCGGAATCCATCCAACAGGACAGCCGGGATGGCAGAGGCCTGTGGGATCCTGTTGAGAAGAGGCTCCGGGAGAGCCCCCAGAGTGCGCTCTTGTCCCCAGTGAGTCCTTGGATGTGCTCTCATGCTCTCCTTGACGATAGGCAAACATCTGTGCTCTGTCTAGTCAACCAAGGGCAGACAATACTCCTTATCTAGTCCCCATTTCAACAACGCTTTGACCAAGTTGTCTTGTTAGCCTCCTTGAACTCTCTGCTCCCAGACATAATTCTGAGGTGTGTCTGAACTACTGTTTTACTAAGTGTATAAAAAACTGTAACCCTGGAAATAAACTTTGTCAGTGCCTGAAGAGCACTGTCATCTCATTTCTTTTCGGTCACATCTCCTTCCCAGAAACTCACAAGGTAAACTTGCACATACGAAAGTCAGGGGCAGTTATTTGGCCTTGGTAGTTAAGATGCCAATAGGGGAGGTGGGGAGAATGGAATTGTGGCAAAAAGTATAAAAACTGCATTGCCAGGAGCCAGTTCAAGTCCCAGCTAGTCCTCTTCTGATCCGGCTCCCTGCTAATGCATCTGGAAAAACAGTGGAAAATGGCCCAAGTGCTTGCATCCCTGCATCAACATGGCAGACCTAGGTGAAATTTCTGGCTCTGGCCTGGCCCAGCACTGGCCATTGCAGCCATTTGGGGGAGTGAACCAATGGTCACTTAGGGAATGACTCTCTTTCTCGATGCCAGTTGGACTTCCCACCTCCCTGTCAGAACACCTGGGTCCCAGCTCTACTTCTAATTCCAGCTTCCTAACACCGACTCTGCAAGGCAGCAAGTGATGACTTAAGTAACTGGGTCCTAGGTCAGCATCCAGCTAGTGGCAAACTCAAAGAATAGATAACTTCAGGCCAGTATCGTGCAGGTTAAGCCAATGTGTGTGAAGATGGCATCTCATATGAGAACCAGTTTGAATTCCTGTCAGTTTCACTTCCCATCCACCTCCCTGTTAATATGCTGGGAAAGCAACAGAAGATGGCCCCCATTTTTGGGTCCCTGCTATTCCCATAAAAGATCCAAATGGAGTTGTAGCCTCCTAGCTTAGGCCTGGCTCAGCCACAGTTGTTGCTCCATATGGGGAGTGAACTAGTGAACAGAAGCTCTAGCACTGGCTTTTTTCTTGCTTTAATTCTGCCTTTCAAATAAATAAATCTGAAGAAAAAAAATCAATAACTAAGATGGCTAGTCCAGGGCCTTTATGACAGAATGCAAAGGACACTAATGTATTAATCATTCTGAGAAATCACATTATCCATTTGTCACACAATAGGTATTCAAGAAATTAATTATCTCTGCTCAGAATTTCCCGTTTGTCACTGAGCCTGAAATTTCTTTCTAAAAAGTCTCTGGGGTGTGTGCTTGGTACAGTAGTTAGCATGCGTCAAGACACTGTATGGCATAATTAGAAGGCCTAGGTTCAAGTCTGAGCTCCACCTCCGATTCCATCTTCCTGTTAAGGCGCACCCTAGAAGGAAGCAAGTAACAGGCCACATACTTGGGTTCCTACCACCCACAAAGGAGTTCAGGAATAAGTTGTGGGCTCCCAGTTTCAGCCTTGTCATTGCTGGCATTTGGGGAGTAAATCAACAATAGATAATTTTCTCTTTTTCTGTCTCTCCCCCCCACACACACAGAATAAAAATAAAATTTTATAAATAGAGTGTTGTAGCACATTCGACTGTATGATTGTCTACTATAGACTAGGCACTGTCTATGTACTGTTGACAAGCAGAGAGCAAGGTAGAAAAATTCCATTTATTCAAGTAAGGAGGATAGTCACGACTCAAAATTAAAAGATGCTCTTTTCAAGCATTTTTAAAAACCAAAGCAAGGGTCACCATCAAAGTGCAACAGGCTAAGCCCTGACATGTGACACTGGCATAAGCACAGGTTTCAGTGCTGGACTGTTCCACTTGTAATCCAGCTCCCTGTTAATGTACCTGGGAAGACAGCAGAAAATAGCCTAAGTGGTTTAGGCATCCGATAACTATGTGGAAGACCTGGATGGACTTCTGGGCTCCCAGTTTGGGTTAAGTCCTAGCCACTGCAGCCATGTGGGTAGTGAAGCGCCAAGTGGAAGTTCAATTAATCTCTCTCTCTTTCTCTCTCTCCCTCTCTCTCTTTCTTTTTCGTTTAATTCTTTTGAGTTAAGTAATAAATCTTAAAAAAAAAAAAGGATAAACTAGAAACAATACAATGTACAAGATGCCCCTTTACTTATGCAGCATGGCACTCCCTATTTAAGCCTCCCTCGCTGAGAGGCAAGCTGAGGAGTAAGAATGGGTTAGGGGTAGGGGTAGCAGTGGACTGCACAGGGTTGGAGCTGAGTCCATTTCAGTTTAGACTGAGCCCATTTGAAATCCCTTTCCCTCCATTAACTTACCGTTGTCTAGAAACCCTGCTATCAATTTATTCTCACAATCTTATTAAAAGAAGCTCTGACTTGTCCAAAGTCCCACATTGCATTTGCTAGCCAACTGGAATCCTTTCCCCCAGCACAAGGCCTGGAGCTCTTCCCCCTGGCCTTACCAGAAGTTGCCTGTGGGCCCGGAGGGGGATGTTGAGCCTTTTCAGAGGCAGAGCCCTTATTCTTGATGTCCAGTGCATTTCTGTATATGGAAGACAGCCTTCTCACCAGACCCGAGCTCATGCCCAACTTCTCCAATTTTTCCAGATTCTCAGAATCGGAGAAGTCATGGGATCTCTTACACTGGGTACCAAACTTGCATTCTCCCTGTAAAAAATACTGGCAGATATGGAGTTTGATGCACTGCTTTTGAAAGGAACAAGAGCCGTAGGGTCCATCTCCTTTGTTATAATGCAGGCAGATCTGTTGACAGAGAAGGGGGTGGAAAAAAATAACAAGTCAGGGAGGCCTGAAAGGACACCATCTCCCCATCAACCAGTTCACTGGCTAGAAGAGGCAAGCCCTGGAAGCCACAGTTGTGAGTATGTCATCTATGCAGGTCATAGCTAAGAAAGCATCCCTCACTCAAGTCACAGCTTCTGGCACATGCCCTTGGATAAGATGGGAACCAGCTGGAGAGTGGGTTCCCTGGAATGGACTCTTCCACTGGGAAAACAAAGAGTTTCAAAATGACTAGAACCACATTGTTCACAGGAGATGGTATTTTAATGTCGATCAGAAGGCAGCATCTTAATGATCTCTGATACTCCTTCCTGACAGACTTGACAATTCTCTACTACCCCAGATCTTAGATTTTCCCAATTCTACAATTCAAATTCAAATTCATAGAACAAGGAGAGTTGAAATCATCTTAGGTAAGGGCAAGTACCACCACCTTTCATGTCTCAAGGGAGCAAAGAGAGAAGTTCAAGGCCTGGACCTACTCTTAGCTATCCACAGCATCTGGAATAGCACTGTGAACTGGGTTATTGACACACATGGGACTTGAACTTCAGTCTGGTTCTCTTCTGTACTCCTAATTTCTGCATGTGAGAACCAGGCCAGAGCCCACCAAGGACCCACTCATTCAACTCCCAGGTATGACTTTTCACAACATGCAGGAATGCCACAAAGGCTGCAAAGCCCAGGCTTAGAGCAGCAAGGACCCACCCGGGAACTGAAACCCCAAGCAGCAAGCCAGAGGAAACTGAAACCTAACTTCACTTCAACTGCTCACAAGCCATGCAACCCATAAACTCTAGATTTCCATTTCTTAACCTGTTGCTGAGGTCAAACACAAAACAAATCAAGGGTCCAATATACACAAAATGGATACCTGTTTTGTATGCCTACCAACAACTAGCCAAGCAGCTAACCCAAGGGCAGAAGCTCTGGCAGCAAAGGCACACTGAGTGGGCATTTAAGGTCTAGGCTTCCATTTGCCAGTGTGTTCTCAGCTAGTCTACACTCATACGCAGACAAAGCCCATAAACACAACTGGTCACTTAGTGACCTCTTCTGATTTGATTTTCACACTACTGACAAGATGACTGTTCTAAATTATTAATGCCCACCCCACCACACACATACTCTCACTTCTTCCTGATACAAGAAAGCCTGAGTGAAACAGCCTCTATCCACTAATTTCTCTTTCTTCCCCCTTCCCACCCTACATTAAGGTCCCCTGGCTGTGCCAGCTCCCTATCTGGGCCAGTCCCACATAAACCAGCTCCTCTTCCTGTATCTCCTTTCTTCCATCTACACCAACCTCCTCTGGCCTTTATCACTCAAAGTAAACATTTATGCCACAAGGCCTTCCCCAATTCCCAAACTGCATCCCAGATCCAGAGTGCAGCCTTTCAGAACATCTCAATCATCCACTGACAGTGCCACAGTAGATATTCCGTAGGGCTAGCTGAATTATTAAGTTACTACTAATTTCCAAAAGGAAAAAGAAAAAAGTTGGCACCTACTATGTGCTAGTCTCTTGCACTTCAAGAACACCTTTCTCACATGGGTGGATTTAATTGAATAGTAGTAAAGTGTTCTCATTAAAGTATTCCAGTCTTGGGCCCGGCGAGGTGGCCTAGCAGCTAAAGTCCTCACCTTAAATGCACTGGGATCCCATATGGGCGCTGGTTCTAATCCCAGCAGCCCTGCTTCCCATCCAACTCCCTGCTGGTGGCCTGAGAAAGCAGTCAAGGATGGCCCAAAGCTTGGGACCTTGCACCTGTGTGGAAGATCCGGAAATGCTCCTGGCTCCTGGCTTCAGATTGGCGCAGCTCTGGCCATTGTGATCAGTTGGGGAGTGAATCATCAGACAAAAGATATTCCTCTCTGTCTTACCTGCTCTCTTTATATATTTGACTTTGCAATAAAGATAAATAAATCTTTCAAAAAAATATTCCAGTCTTATCTGTTACTTCAAACCAAAAAGAGTGACAAAGCATTCCACATCTATGCTGTGCTGGCTATGGGAACACACTGGTCAGAACTGAATTTGTGGCCTAACTGCAGTGACTTTAGCTCAAGTAATGCCGATTAGCACAGTGGGACCTTTATTCAAAGTATGTTGCAGTCAGAATCTCTTCCCACCTCTTCCTTCCTTCTCTTGCCATAAATGACAGTCCTGCCTTATGTTGCCAATAGGCTTTCCCCATCTTCTCCTGCCTTCTCCCAGGGTAAATCTCTTGCATTTCTAACTTCATATTGTTGGCTGATGAACTGATGCAGTGCAGATACCTGCAACACAATCTGAGAATTCACATCAACCAAAGTTCAAAAGTTCCCTAGATGTGAGTCTATGACTACCATGTGGCTGTTAGTCATATTGGAAGGAGGCTGCACTGTGGATCGCCTGGCCAACAGTGTGGTTTTAGTTTCTGCTGGATAAGGGTTAAGACTCAACAGCAAGGGGAGGGGAAGGGGGAACATCAGAGCTTATGAAACGTTGTTATAAAATTAAATGCAATAAAAAAAAATCTATGTTAAAAAAAAAAAGACTCAATGAAGTCTCTCATCCCCTGAGCTCTGTGTAATACAGTTCTGCAGGTGCAGGTCAAACAGATTCCCCATGCCTCTCACCCCCCACTGCCCTCTCTGGCAACCTCACAGAAGTCCTGTAAGGGAGGTACCAGCATAAATGACAGTGGAGGAGAGGTTTCAAGGAGTGGCAAGTTAGTCCAACGTCAGGCCTAGAAACCACAGAGTCAGGAATTCCACCCAGGTTGCGTGGTTCTTTGTAAGGATGGGTCCACGGATTCTCTTCAGTCTTCCAACCACATGGCCTTTAGTCTATTGCTATAAAGAAACCTCCCCTCCCCACTGGCACTCACATCCGGCAAAAGCAAGGGATCGTTCTGAAACAAGAGCTGGCACAGCTCACTAAACTTGAGGTGGTCAACACCGTGAGTTCTCAGCACACTCAGGTTGTGATCAGTCGTCAAGCTGTGATTGTTTCTACAGTTCTTCCTGCAAACAAATAGAGACGGTATTATAGGCTGGACTGTTATCTCCTCCAAATTCTTATGGTGGAGTCCTAACTCCCAGAACTTCAGGATGTGACTCTGTGCTACAACTTGGATGTGGTTTGTCCCCCAGGGGTCACTGGGAGTTTGACACCCACGTTCATGTTATTGGGGGTAATGTGGAACCTGTAGAAGTTAGGGCCTAGAAAGTGGTCCCTAGATGGGCTGAGGGCATGCCCTCAAAAAAAATCAGCTATTCCTTTATTTCTCACCAGAGGGCTACATCAAATGCCCGAGACTGACTTCACACCCAGTAGCTCCAACTTCCTGTTTGGTGATGTGACTATTCACTCCGGCATATTATCCTGCCATTGCCACCTCTCGTGATGTGACAGACAAGAGGGATCTCCCCAGAGCTGAGCTGACATGGTGCCATGCCCTTAAACCGCCACAATCCTCTTTTCTTCCTAAGTAGCCTGCATCGGATATTTTGAAAAGTAATGAAAAATGGATCAATGATAGCATCTCAAAAGAGATATTTAAGTTAAAATGAGGTCATTAGAGTGGGCCCCAGTCTCACACAACTGGTGTCCTTATAAAAGATCAGCACACACACACACGCACACACAGAGGGAACCCATGTGAGGACACAGTGAGAAGGGGCCATTCAGAAGATAAAGAGAGGCCTCAGAAGAAAACCAACCTGCTATCACCTTGATTCAGGACTTCCAGTCTCCAGAATTCTAAGGAAATAAATTTCTAGAGTTTAAGCTCCCCAGTCTGTAGCACTTTGTTATGGCAGTCTTGGCAAAATTACACAGCTGGTAAAATCAATCTTCATGACAATTTTTCAGAAACACTTCCTGGTCCTGTTTACCAGCACCAGAGAAAAACCAGCAAGTTTACAAAATGGAAAAAACCTAATGCTTATTTACCAAGGAAGAGAAGGAACTATGCAAGGTCAAGGGCCCAGGAGAGCACCTCTCAGCAGGCATGTGAGAATGACAGAGTTCTCACCCAAAGAGCTACAACGTACCAGTCACAAGACAAGTACTTAAAAATGGACTGAATGAATAAACAAGCAGAGTACTTGATAGTCATATATGTGCCTTATGGCTATATGTATGTATACACACACACACACACACACACACACACACTTTAGCCATGCCTTTTTTGGCTCCTGTCCTCCATTCTTCTGAGGCACTAGCAACTGGGAGCACTAGCTGTGAGCCAAGCACCGGAGCCCCACCCTGAAACCAAACAATAAACCTTCAAGGTAGGTCAGGATCACCAGGACCCAGGGGCTAGGCAGAGAGCATTCACTTGACTTAGACACTGACACATCTGGTACTAGATGCCCACAGTAAATTCTTCAAAGAACACCAAACTCCTGATCGAAACCCCAAACTTGTACTTCCCTGTTGTGATCATCCACCTCAGTAAAATGTATCTTCCCTATTTCACTACACAGAGTGAAAATCTTGAAGCTTTAGTTGGTTCCTCTTATTCTCATCCAGCAGAGGTACAGGACTCAGAGACGGCTCATAGCCATCTATAGACTCAAAGTGCAAGGTCAGCCATGTTCAGAATGTATCAGCAGAGAGAGGCTGGGGCACCTGATCCTGCCTGAAGTAGGGTGACAGCTAAGGAAGAAACCAGGGATAAAGTCTGAGCTTGAAGGGTGAGAAGGAGGAAGGCAAGGAGAAAAAAGAAGAGCATCAAATGAGCAAATAAACTGATGCTGCCAGACTATATACAACCAACATCATAACGATGAAGGCTAATGACAACTACAAAAAAATTTAATGGGCATTTACCACAAAAAAGGGATTGCCTAAATATTTTAATATTCTGTTATTTACGAGACAGATTCTATCCCTTGGGGCTTACACCCCTGAAACCCACATTTGCTCCAGCTAGGCCAGACTTCAGCCAGAAGTCTAGATTTCATCTAGGTGAGCCCAGCACAGTAGCCTAGTGGCAAAAGTCCTCGCCTTGCACACACCAGGATCATATATGAGTGTTGGGTTGTATCCTGGCTGCTCCAGATCCCATCCAGCACCCTGCTTATGGCCTGGCAAAGCAGTAGAGGATGGACCAAAGCCTGAAAACCCTGCACCTGCATGGGAGACCCAGAAGAAGCTCTCGGCTTTGAAGTGGCTTATCTCAGTCTTAACTGTTGCGGCCATTTGGAGAATGAACCAACAAATGGAACATTCTTCTCTCTGTCTCTCCTCTCTAATTCTGACTTTCCAATCAAAAATAAATAAAATCTTAGAGCCTGGCATGATAAGTTAGCAGCTAAAGTCCTCTCCTTGAATGTGCCACTGGGATCCCATATGGGCACCGGTTCTAATCCCAGCAGCCCCACTTCCCATCCAGCTCCATCCTTGTGGCCTGGGAAAGCAGTCGAGGACAGCCCAAAGCCTTGTGACCCTGCACCCACATGGGAGACCAAGAAGAGGGTCCTGGCTTCAGATTGACTCAGCTCCAGCTGCTGCAGCCATTTGGGAAGTGAATCATCAGATGGAAGATCTTTCTCTCCTCCTCTCTGTATATCTGCCATTCCAATAAAAATTAAAAAAATCTTTTAAAATAAAATCAATAAAATCTTAGAAAAAATAAGACTCCATCTAGGTCTCTTGTAGCAGAGACTTAAGTACTTGAGCCATCATCTGCGGCCTACCAGCGTGTGCATTAGCAGGAAGCTGGAATCATAAGTGGAGCCTGAACTTGAATCCAGGTGTGACAAACCTGGGATGCAGGTGTCCCATGAAGCATCTTAATCACTCTTGCAAATGCTTCTTGCCTAAGACTTATTGAGCCCACATGGTGGCTGAATTAGCTAATCCTCTACTCACAAGCGCTGGGATCCCATATGGGCACTAGTGTGTGTCCTGGCTGTTCCACCTCCCATTTAGGTCCCTGCTTGGGACCTGGGAAAGCAGTAAGGGATGGCCCAAGGCTTTGTAACCCTATATCCACGTGAGACCAGGAAAAAGTTCCTGGCTTCTGGCTTTGGGTTGGCTCAGCTCTGGCCACTGCAGCCATTTAGGAAGTGAACCAGCAGAAGGCAGAACTTTCTCTTGGTATTTTCTGCCTTTCCAATGATCCAGTTCCCTGTTAATCCACCTGAAAAGGCAACAGATGACCACCCAGCTGCTTGGTCCCCTGACACTCACATCAAAGACTTGGTGGAGTTCCTGGCTCCTGATTTTAGCCTGGCCTAACCCTGCTCATTACAACCATTAGGAGTGAACCTACAGTTGGAAGATTAATCTCTCTCTCAATAAACAAACAAATCTATCTTAAGACATCTAGGCCAATAAATATCAGACTCCAGATTTCCAAGACAAGCACAGTTTCAGAAACCAGCCTAGGAATAGGGCAGCCATCTTTTATTTTACCAACTGTGAATAATAGAGAGACCTAGCACGGTCCTCATCAGGTGAGCTACATTCTGAGCCTTCTTTCTTTCGGGTTGCTGCTGCTCCTTCCCTGCTGGGATGCCTCACCTCCAGGGAGCAAATTTCCCCGTGCTTCTACCTTCAGCTTTGCGGAAGCCTCACACTCCACATCAGGTCCAATCCACTCCCACATGGCAGCCCCACACACATTGCTTAGTATATCCCAATGCAGAAGTGCAAAGCCCCCAGCTTCCTCCCAGTCAGACTTAAAATGTTCTCCTGCTGTCTCAATCAACAGTCAGCGACAGGAGAGTGGAAACCCTAGACTGATCATCTCTAATACTTTCTCAACACGTTACTGCCAACTCCTCAGCTCTTTCAAATTTCTCATACAACACCCTCCCCTCGGAAAATGCCAATCTAGGTATTTCTGGAAGCTTTCAAGGAGATGCTGTTTCCCAATCCCCTTGCACCTAAGTGGGTACATCAGACACCTTCTGGGCAATGGCATATAGCTGGACAAAAACCCACCACTTCTAGATCCGGCCCACAAGAACCCCCTGCAAGATCCTCTCAAGATGCTCTTGTCCATGTCTCCTTCCCTGAAACTGGATTCCTAAAATGGCCTCGAGCCCACTGTGCTGAGGCAGCAGAGCAGAAGTCAGCCTAGAGCTCCGAATGGCATGGACGGACTGCTCACACCCCACGCTATGGCATCGGGAAATGATGCTTATTGTGCTGAGGTGGAGAGATACCCAGCAGGATGAAAGAAAAAGTTAAAGAAACTGGAGGCAGGAAAAGAAAAATGAAACAAATTCCACAAATAAGTGGACTAGCTTCCAAGCAGGCCCTTAAGACAGATCTTAAGATTTCCACGGAACTACTTAAGATCTTTGCTCAGAAGGCAAACAAACATGATTTTCTCTCTCCTGCCATCTGAAGGGCCAGGATGGAGTCCAGATTCCTCAGCATTAAGCTCAACATCCATTTCACAAATCTCACTTGCCCACCTGCGAGGCAGTGTTCTGTGCTAAGGAGGTGGCCAGTGCAGCCTAAAACAGACCTAAAGGGTGCCATGAGGAAGTGCGATGAAGACAAAGAGCAAGCCAAGTGTTCACTCAAAAGAGGCAAGGGCGTAAACCTGCCAGGGCACACCAGGCAGGGCAAGCAAAGGCGGCCATCGAGGAGGTGCTATCGCTGGCGAGCAAGCCCAGAGCAGTTCCCTGTGGGACCCTAGGGTGCTGGGAGGATAACTGGATTTGGGGCTTTAAATACCGATCGGAGATTCCTTGTGGCGGCGGGTGGAGCAAGGCCTCGGTGTGGGCCTCCAAGCTGGGGGCGTCACGGGGCTCCACGAGGCTGCTGCTTCCCACCACCGCCATGTTGCCACCCGCGGCATCCCACCCACGGCCATCCGCTCTCCATCCAAGCCACTCCCGGTCACGACAGAGTGTCTCCTCGGGAATTCCTGGCCCAGTCTCAGGTACTCAGCAAGTGCTCAATGAAGTCCTCCTAAAGCAAAGCCAGGGAACGGGCCACCTAATCGTCCACCCACGCCCCCCCCCCCAGCCCCGCCGCCGCCGTGGGCCCCAAGGCACGCTGCCTTACCCGGCCTTGAGGAACTTGCAGGTGCCATACATCATGAACTTGCACAGATGCAGCTGTGCGCAGAGCCCCTCGCAGGTGGACTTGGGGGACAGGTGCGCGCGGCACAGGCGCAGCGGGGAGACCGCCAGCACCACGCGCTGTTGGGCCGCCGCCCCGTCGGTGGAGGCGCCGGGCCGGGTGACCACCACGAAGCGCCCGTGCACCTGCAGCACCCGCTCCAGGGTGTCGGTGTCTATGCTCCGCAGCAAGTGCAGCCGCAACTCGGTCAGCTCCAAGGCGCCCCCGGCGGCGCACAGCGCCTGGGTCACCTCACCCACCCTGGTGGTGGTGAGCTGGGCCATGGCAGTGGCAGTGACGGCGTCGACGAAGCGACGAGCGGGGCTGCCCTGAGCCGTCGAGTCCTGGCGCCAGACACACCCGCGGACCCGAGCCGTTCCCGAGAGGCGGAGACGCTGTGGCAGGAAACGAAAACGAAAGCCGCTCGCTCCGGGGCCTCACCACGCCCCCCGGGCCGCAGCTGAGCCGCCCGGCCGCTCGCCGCTTTCCCCTCAGCGCCCTCAGCTGGGAGCCGCCCGCCTCCCGGCTCTCCCCGGCCTACGGGGGCGCCTCAGCCGGGTACGGCGTGGGGGCGTCCCTGGGCGTTCTAGAAAATAGCTGGCACCTTCTGCGGGGCACCACCGCGCGACGCCTTGGCCCAGACAGTAGCTGTGGGCACGGCCGGCGCCGGCTCGACCACCTCGAGAGCTCCCCCTGGCGCTCGTGGGCCGCGGCTTTGAGGAGTGGGCCGTGATGCCCGTCTCTGAGGGAGACCCATAAGGCACCTCACTCAGCCCAGCCGGCTTGCCTCGACGACTGCCGGAAACTGAGGCAACGGCCGAGGACCCGCCCCCGGAACAAACGTTCCCGCTAGGTCCTGATCAGCTTACGGGGAGCCACTTGGTTTTCAAACATGAAAGGCTACATCCTCGGAAAAAAAATAAGTCAATTAAAGACTATTAGGGCAGAGGGCTATCTGTCACTGCTGATGAAAGGCAAATGAGTTGTTAAAGCCCTATTTAGGGGAAAATGAAAGTGATACAGGAATTCCTATGAATATTTTAAATGTACGCATGACCTTTGACCCGACGTTCCTTCTTGGAACCTTCCAGAATAACTCAATAAGGGCTAGAAATGAGGGTTTGGTGGGAAGGGGCTGTAAGGTGCTGGTGGTGGTGTGGGCCGTGGACGCAGCTTTCGCAGGCACACGGTAAATCTCTCCGCGTGGAAGGACATCGGTGGACCAGGCGAAGCGGGCGGAGGACTCGGCGTAGAAATGCCGGAGTCATGGGTGGCAGGATGCTGTGAAGGCTTGCGGAGAAAGATCTGGAAACTTTGTGAACTCTACTTGTGGGAAGCAGACAGGGGAAATACTAAGAAATTGGAGAAGTGAACCATAGAAAGGGTTGGGGGAGGGAAGAATACTTATGCTGTTTAACAGTAACTTAAAATGAGTATCAAATTCAAAATAATATTACTACAAGAACATAAAAGATTTTTTATTTTTTTATTATTATCATTTTATGATATAGTTCCATAGGCCCTGGGATTTCCCTTATCCCCTCCCCAATCCCCTCCTCCCTGAGTTCTCCTATATCATTACTATAGTATAGTTTTGTTTTTAATTTAAAGTTTTAATTTTTTATCTTTTTTATAGGGGCAAATGATTGGCAGGGCACTTAGAATGCAACTTAAAATGTTTACCTCCCACACTGGAAATCCTAGGTTTAAGTCCTGGCACTGCTTTTGATGCCAGCCACTCAGAAATGCAGACACTGGGAATGCCAGTTCAAGAAGTTGGGTCCCTGTCACCCACCTGCTGGCCCTGGGTTGAATTCCTGACTCCAAGGTTTAACCTGAGCTCCAAATGTTGTAGATACTTGGAACATGAACTAGCAGATGGGAGAGCGAAACATCATACATAACAGCAATCATACATAATTAACAATTAATAAAATAATAGATAAAATTGGATTTTAAAATAAAACAAAAAATCGCTTTGCAAGATAAATGGGAGACTGCTTTTCAATATAATTTGTTTTATTTTACATTCAAATAAATTTTAGTTATGTTTCAGTACTTTTTAAAAAGATTTATTTTTATTGGAAAGGCACATTTACAGAGAGAAGGAGAGACAGAAAGATCTTCCATCTGCTGGTTCACTCCCCAAATGGCCACAACAGCCAGAGCCAAACCAAGAGCCAGGAGTTTCTTCTGGGTCTCCCACGTAGGTGCAAGGGCCTAAAGCCTTGGATCATCCTCTACTGTTTTCCCAGGCCACATGCAGGGAGCTGAATAGGGGGAGGAGCAGTCAGGACCTGAACTGGCACCCATATGGGATCCTGACACTTGCAAGGATTTAGCCACTGAGCCATTGCACCAAGCCTTCAGTACTATTTTGTGTAAAATAACGTTTTTTAAAGAAAGGAAGGATGGACCTGGCATGATTGCTCAATTAACGAATCTGCCCTTTACAAGCACCAGGATCCCATATGGGTACCGGTTCATGTCCCAGATGCTCCACCTCCCATACAGCAACCTACTTTTGACCTGGGAAGACAGTGGATTATGACCTAATTCCTTGAGATCCTGCACCCAGGTGGGAGACCAAGAGGGGGCTACTCGCTTCAGATTGGCTTGTCTATTGTGGCCATTTGGGGAATGAACCAGCAGATGGAAGATCTTTGTCTCTCCTCTCTGTAAATCTGCTTTTCCAATGAAAATAAATAAACCTTAAAATTAACAAAGAAAAGAAAGGATGGTATTAGTGAAAAATAGTAGATTGAGAACCCCAAAAAGTTTCCCTTCTATAAAAACAACTTTTTAAAACTTTCCAAATATCAAAACAAGCTTTTTCTGGAATGGGGAGCAAAGCTAAGACACAAACCCATTATGGAATGCAAGTGTCTCAGCTGGTATTGTAAGTGCCAGATCAAACACCTGCCTCAGGAATGGAGCTCTTTTCAAGACTCATTTCCAAAGATCAGATTTACAGAGAGAACCAGAGAAAGATCTTTCATCTGCTAGTTCACTCCCCAAATAGCTGCAATGGCAGGAGCTTAGCCAATCTGAAGCCAGGAATCAGGAGCTTCTGGGTCTCCCACATAGGTGCAGGGTACGAAGGTGCTCATATGGGATCCTAGCTCTTGTAATGTGAGGATTTAGCCATTAAGCCATTGCGCCAGGCCCCATCCACCAACATTCATGAGATCCAGGACTGGGAGTGGGCCTGGTAGGGGAACTTGGGGATCTCCCATGCTAGGCTGGAGCTTCTGGAAAATACTAGGGCTTGCAGGGAGGCCAGGCCAAGCTATAGTACCCATCAGCTTATGTGTGGGCTACGTCTAGGGTCAGGCTGGTCTTGGTTAGGCTGTAGCACACCCTGGCATGCACACAAGAGCCAGGATGGAGCATGGGCTGTGCTGGACTAGGCTGCAGCACCCAGTCACATGAGAACCAGAACTGAGGTTGGGCTTGGCCTGACCAGGCTGCAACCATTGGCAAATGCCAAGACAGTGGGTAGATCACACCAGGCTGAGTCAGATTACCCATTGGCACACACAGGGATGGGTTGGGAATAGGCTTGGTAGGGGAACTTTGGGGATTTCTCTGCTAGGCCGCAACTCTTGCTGTAGTCAAGTGTGAGAGCCGGGACTAAAGATGGACCTGGCTGAACAGGACTGCAGCACCTCTTGGCAGACATGTGGGCTGGGTATGACAGTGAGCCAGACTAGGCTAGGCCCCAGCACCTGCTGGTGCCGAGAACCAGAATGAGTGTGGGATGGACTGGGCTAAGCAACATCTGCCTGTTCATATGAAAGCCAGGTCTGGGGTTGAGCCAAGCTGCACTATGCTGTAACACCAACCAAAAGCCAGAATATGTGTGGGACAGTTGGGGTAGGCCACAGTACCTGCCACTGAATTCCAGGATTGGGGACTGGCCATGTCAGGTTGTTCTGCAGCACTTGTCATCACACACAAGATCCAGAGCTGGGAACCAACTTTCTAGGTAAACTTTGGGAACCTCCCTGCATAAACACAAATCCTGCTGCTGAATATATGAAAGCTGGGCCAGGCTGCTGCACCTGCCAGCAATTACTGGTACTGCGGGTGGGCTGGGCCGAACCAGGCTGTAACATCTGCTGGTGAAAGCCAAGACTGGGTGTGAGCCACAGCACTCACTGACAAATGTCAGGTCTTGGTGCAAATGCTAGATCCAAGGCTGAGATTCCAGGCACTTCCAATGAAAAGAATTAATTCTTATTTTTTTTTTAAAGATTTATTCGTTTATTGGAAAGTCAGATATACAGAGAGGAGAAGAGACAGAGAGGAAGATCTTCCGTCCAATGATTCACTCCCCAAGTGACCGCAACGGCCGATGTTATGCCAAGCCAAAGCCAGGAGCCAGGAATTTTTCCGGGTATCCCATGCGAGTGCAGGGTCCCAAGGCTTTGTCTCATCTACTTTTCCATATATCTTCACTTCCTCCACCCTAATTTGTGGTCCATGTGGGCATGCATCCTCAACTACATAAACATCATCAAAAATAAAATAAACTTGGGCCCGGCATGATGTCCTAGAGGCTAAGTCCTGACCTTGCAACCATGAGAATCTTTCCCAGGCCACAAGCAGGGAGCTGGATGGGAAGTGGAGTTGCCGGCATTAGAAGCAGCGCCTATATAGGATACCGGTGCATTCAAGGCGAGGACTTTAGCTGCTAGGCCACGCCGCCGGGCCCAAAAAGAATTCTTAAAAGGTAATAATAAAGGGATCACTACGTAGGCCTGATCTCCAGGCCAGGGCACAGTCTTTAAAAATAAAAGAAGAAAAGTAATGGTAACTTTCTCCCTATACTTTTGGTGGTTGTGATATAAATAAAATATTCAAAGTCTTGGGTAGAAAAATAACAGTAATTACTACGGTGTTTATTGGACATGTTTGTTGGTGTTTCTGAACACATTTTATTTTTTATATATTCTTTTAAAGATGTTTTTCTATAGGAAAGGCAGATATACAGAGAGGAAGAACTTCCCGTCTGCTGGTTCACTCCCCAAGTGGCTGCAACAGCCAGAGCTGAGTTGATCCAAAGCCAGGAGCCAGGAGCCTCTTCTGGGTCTCTGATGTGAGTGTAGGGTCCCAAGGCTTTGGGCCATCTTCCACTGCCTTCCCAGGCAACAAGCAGGGAACTAGAAGGGAAGTAGAGCAACTGGAATATGAACTGGCACCCACATGGGATTCTCATGGTTGCAAGGTCAGGACTTAGCCACTAGGACGTCATGCCGGGCCCAAGTTTATTTTATTTTTGATGATGTTTATGTAGTTGAGGATGCATGCCCATATGGACCACAAATTAGGGTGGAGGAAGTGAAGATACAGGGAAAAGTAGATGAGACAATTGCTTCCAATTTTTTTCTTCCTGTACCTGGAAGAAGTGAGGAGAGAAGTGGCCTAAGCTCATCAGTACCCAGGGATGTGAGATGACCACCTGATGTCATCTAGGATTCCCGATGTGGAGCAGGTTCCAAGGGTACTGCTCAAGTGACTTCAATAGTTCTGAGATGCTATTGAAAACCTTCCAAAGTCTATTGGCTGACAGTCCACCCTAGAGTCTCCATTCACAAAGATACTTGCTGTGGAAGCTTGGCCAGGAGAATTGCCCAATTTGTTCTGCCCTCCATCCTCTGCCATGGTACTAGATGTCCTATGCAGGTCTCAATGAGCTGTCATGTCCCCCGTGTGCATATGGGCATGCCATCCACTGCACAGGCTTCAGCAACAAAGAAGCCCAGTTTTGAGATATATGCTTTCCAAAGTCAGACCACAGATCATGTATTTTTCCCCATGGTTGGAGTTTTGAGTCCAGTGGTCCCATTTGGTGAGTCCCAAAAGAAACCTCACCTAAAGTGACCCCAGACCTGACTCCTGTGTGTGCCAGTCAGTGCAGGGTCCAGCTCAGCCCATCACCCACACCAGGCTGCACACACACTGGTAGCTGCAGTTACCCTGTCAGAATCTGTCCCCAGCCCGATCTCATATGCAAACCAACAGGTGCTGTGGCACAGCCTAACCCTGTCCACTACACACTTGGCTTTCATACACAACAGCAGAAACTGCAGCCTAGTTAGTCTGACTCCCAATAACCCCCACCAGGCCCGCCCC